AGGTCAGCCCAGACATGGTTTACATTATGGTGAGTCTCAGAGTAAACACTTCGCACCAGAATGTTACTTCTACTCTGTTTGCAGTTAGCTGAGCTGCTGAGAACCTGCTGGCAATTTCTTATGCAGTTCCTTGTACAGTGAGGCTTCCTCATGTCTGGTTGGTGGTCAGGAAAGACTCTCCCACGTCTCAGAAGTGAAACCTGGGTGTCCCTTTTGGACAGTCCAGGCTGTGTCTGGGGCACAAGGGGATGCTCACCCACTCCACATGGTTGTGTTAAGGGATGTGGCCTTGCTTGCATAGAAATTAGTGGGAGGTGGTGGTTGAGACTGTGGAGGGTCTTGTACTGAAACTGAGATGAATGTGTGTGTTGGTTTTGTCTCTTGTTAAAATGAGGAGAACTGTTCTACATGTTTTCAGTGACTAGCAGGAAAATCTAGCCACATTTCCATACTATTAAAATGTTATGTATATATAATGTACTGTTACAGTTGCTTGTATTTAATATTTAAAGCAGAGTACTTAGGATCCTGTTCATCAAAGTGAGACCCAAGATGGAAAGAAAGATTTTATTTTTCTACTGGTCAAGATATTTAGAGATGAGATGGAATGAAGTATGTTCGTTTTTCAAATATAGCCCATTAAATAGAGCAGGGAGATAGTAGTAATATGTTCAGACACATGAATCTCCAGCACTTTAAATAGTACTACTTTTACTGTTGTTGTTTTTTTAATTCCACGCAAAATGAGCAATGAAAAATGTATAGTAACAGAAGAGTTTGTGAAATCAGAATGTTAGACACTGTAAACATAGTTTCACAGAAAAACAGACCCCGAAGACCAGAGAAAAACAGACCCTAAAGACCAGAGATTCTGGAAGAAAAACTGATTCATCAAAACTATGGTAAAACTTGCATCTAGTCCATAGTGGCATCAAAGGGTTTTGGTTTGTTTGTTTGTTTGTGTTTTTGTCTGTTTGTTTGTTTGTTTGTGTGTCTGTGCTTTTGTTTTTGTTTTGTTTTTCAGACTCCATCGTGCTACTGATGTGGCCTGAAGCTTGGGGAGTTTGGGGTGCAGCAGCAGATCTTTTATTAATGTGCTTCATGGGTAGGCAGAGCTCCCCAGAAATGCACAGGGAGCTTTCTTATGGCTCTGGTTGTGCTCGTGCTGCATCTGGTCTTCATTAAGTTTCCAGTTGTGGCTAACGAAGTACAGATGTGAGCTGCTTTCCAAAGGGAAGAAAAGAAAGAGGAGGAGGGGAAGAACAGGAAATTCTCAGAATATGAGCTGGGGGAAGGGTAGATCATTACTTGGTGTTCTGTATGTGGCAGTGAGGCCAACCCTGGGAAGAAGAGTTGCTGCCTTTTAAGGACGTAAGGACAGATGGGCCTTTCTTGCTACACTAACAACTGTTGAGAGAAAACTGATGGTTTTGCCTTGGATTTAAGCAAGAGTGTCCTACTCCTCCTGTTCCTTGTTTCTTAACTTGCCCTGCATTGTTTTGTACATACCCGAAGAGGCAACAAAACTGGTGTGCAGCTGCCCCTCTGGGATGTTATTCTGCTGCTGGAGATGTCTCCCTGATCACTAAGAACAGAACAGGACAGAATAATTCAGGACCTTCAAAGATCATCTGGTCAAACTGCCTGATCGTTTCAGTGCTAACCAAAAGTTAAACCATATCAATGAGGGCATTATCCCAATGCCTCTGGAGCACTGACAGCCATGGAACCTTGCTAGGAAGCCTGTTCCCGTGTTTGACCTCTCTCACAGTAAAATTATTTTTCCTAAAGTCCAGTCTGAACGTCCCCAGCTGCAGCTCCAGCCCCTTATCCAGCTTTGTTGACCTCCTCTGGACACTTTCAAGGACCTTAACATCCTTTTTATATTGTGGAGCCCAGAACTGCGTGCAGTATTCAAGGTGGGGCCACACCAACACTAAATCTAGTGGGAGAATTGCCTCTGTTGATGGTTATGCTGGGTTTGATGCATCCTAAAACGGGGTTTGCCCACTGGTCTGCCGGAGCATGCTGCTGGTTCACATTGAGCCTTTGTTGTGTTCCACGTGGTGATGTTACTGTAATGCCTTTCTAGTTTGTAAATAAGATACAATAGATAATAATACAATAAAGGCAAGCGTAAATATATGAATAAAACTTTATATGCACGTGAAGGCTGCCTTTGCAAGCAAATAGGATGTTACTGGCAGAAACACTTGAATACCTTATGAGCAACAGACTGTAGTATATAGTGTGGCGTTAAAATTATACAGATATTTTTTGTTATTGTTGTTGGTCCAGCCTATCAGTAGCCTGCTTCTGGAGCATCTCGGGTTAGTTTTGGAAATGGTTTGGAGCGAGGGAGGAGGAGGTGGGATGGCAGAGCTCCAGCTCGTCAGAGCACTGAGGTGGGGCACCGCATGCGTATGGCAGGGCTGCCTGGGTGGCACGCTGGCAGCTCGCGTGTGGGACAGGAGCTCCCAGAGAGGAATCCCTGGAGCAACAGCAGCTCCCCCGCTGAGTGTTGAAGTTGGCAGGAGCCACTGCCATTCATGAAGGCAAAATGCTGCCAGAAGGTGACAAGTAACAGCAGGACTAGGGAAACGACTGTCCCCTTGTACGTGGTGCTTGAGACCACACCTCGAATACTGGGTTCTGTTGTGGGTCCCTCAGTACAAGAAGGGTGTTGAGTTGTTTGAGCGTGTGGAGAGAAGAGCCATGAAGCTGGGGAAGGGACTGGAGAGCAGGGCTGAGGAGGAGCGGCTGAGGGAGAGGGGGCTGCTCGCTATGGAGGAGGCAGAGGGAGGCCTCAGCGCTCTACCTGAAGGGAGGTTGCAGCGAGGAGCGTGTCAGTCTCTTTTCTCAGGTGACACAAGGAAGTGGCCTCAAGTTGCACCAGGAGAGGTTTAGTCTGGACATGAGGAAGAATTTCCTCACAGAGGGGTGGTCAAGCATTGGGGCAGGCTGCCCAGGGAAGCGGTGGCGTTGCCATCCCTGGAGGTACTGAAGAGGCGTGCGGACACGGCACTGAGGGACACGGCTTAGAGATGGGAGTCAGGAGGCCAGGATGATGGTTGGACCTGCTGATCCTGAAGGTCTCTTCCAACCCAGATGATTTCTATGATCTTTAAGTCCTGTTTTGTTTCTCTGCACACCATTATTTTTAACTTTGCAGCTTTATAATATGCCAGTTTGCTCTATTTCCTTTCAAAAGTTTCCACTCCCTGTAGGCTAATATGATTTCTCATTCTCTTGTCTCCGTTCAAGTCCACGAACTCTTACATTTATGGAATTGCAAGCTGTCAAGACTCTTAAAGATTTTGATTTCCTTTCAGAAACGTGCTGTTTGTTAGTTTGGCACAGCGCAAGCTTGTGCTCCTTCAGGCAGAGTGAAATGGCTGTTGGCAGCTTCTTCTGGCATGCTGCAGATTTTGGAAAGTCCGTGTATTTTCCTTGTGTGTACTGAAGCACAGCCGTGCACATACATGCTAGGTTTGGCGTCTGGTACTACCGACAGAACTTACTGTCTTTGTTGATGAAAGCTAGGTGACAATATTTAATCTGACCTCAATGTCCTGTGAAGATGTTTCTCCTGCCTATTGCCAGTTTGGGGCTATAGGCAGTGGCTTGCATAAAAAAGAAAGTAATTCAAACTTCCTAAAAAGGAGGGTGGTCGCATCTTCTGCTGATAGAAATCAGCATTTCTATGTTGTGTGGAGATACATGGGCTTACGCTTGGAAGGATCTAGCACTGACGTTTCCATAAGGCCTTTCCAGGTCAGAAATTACTTGGTTGTGTTTCCATGTTGCTTTTGGCTTTTCAGTCCAGGAGGGATTTGGATATGTCAGAAGAGGGCAAGAGCATACTGTGTTTGAACCAGGTTCCATATGGACAAGCAGATGTAAGAAACTCTATGAAATATTCAGAGATGTGTTTTTGCTTTTCAGAAGCGAAACTTCTGAATTATCTGAAATTTGTCCCAGATGTATTACTTCTAATCCTGTTTTATTTTCTCTATCCTGTTTGGCCTTAATGAAGTGTATGTCCATGTATTTATATTTATTTCTACCTGAAAATTTTGCACTGGTTGTAGTTGCAAATAGAAGATAATCTCATTTTAAAATAAATTAGGAAAAAACATTTTTATTTTCTGCCTTCATCGACTGTGTGTGCTTGACAGCACGTTGCATCTCATCTGCTTCACTGCTTCCCGGTTAGTCAGTTTCCCCTGTTTGTGCAGGGTCTTTCCCACAGCAACTGGGAAGAGAAAAACATTTTAATCATAGGAAAACATGATTGTCAGCCCCCCACCCCCAAAGTGGAAGATTTGCTTGCAGGTGCAAGACCTGAAGTGGCATTCAACTCTTAGCATTTTTTTTCCTGCTTTTATCATTTAGGTGCTTATTTTGTGTTGTGGTGTCTGAGAACTGTATGGACCACACCTCCGCTGCGGATCACATGCTGGAAAAAAACACAACATTTTGAATGTTTGTTTTTATTTGTCGGACATACATGTACTGCGTTTTACTCTGCAGAGCCTCACTCATAACCAGAATTTATGTAAATTTTGGCTTGTCCCCCATGCAACTGTCGGTTGTGCTGCTGCCCTCCTATGCAGCAGTGCTGTCTGGTGAGACCTGACAACATCGCGTGGGAGCACAAAGCTGAGATGTTGACTGCATCTGTGTTGGCAGATGATTTTGTTAAGTGTAAACTCTTAGCTTTGAGCTAAGAGTTAAAGACTTTGAGCTAATAGTTTAAGCATAGCTTAAAGCTATGGACTGTTCAGTTCCAGAACTACCCTCTATGTCTGAGGACTGTTTCTGTTCCTCTTAAATCTTCACAGTAACAACTGGAGTCCTGTTTATTCCCCACTTAACACACGTATATTAATGGTTTTCCCTTTCACTCTCTCCTCTTTCCTTGCCCCTTACCTGCCTAATACACAAGTCTCGATGGTGCTACCATTAACAGCACTTCCCTTCTTTCTGCTTTATCACAGTGAGGCTATCTGGGAGAACATGGCTCGCATGTGTGTGAAGACTCACAGGCTTGACTGTTGCCAAAATTTGCCTTGGAAACATGGGTCATGCAAGAGGAGCCAAAGCATTAAGGGAGGCTGAACAAGAACCAGAGGAGGAAGCCAGAGTCGCTGTGCTAGCAATTCAGCTGGGCATGCTGGTAAGCCCTGACAATCGTATGCATCCTGGAATATCCACTCCGTGTAACTAGGGAATAGATTGACCATTTCTGATAAATCTGAGAGAGGTGCAAAAATCTCCTAAGTAAAATCTATTACCAAGTTTCCAAGGAGTAATGCGGAATAGTTGTTACAATTACTTTCTTGAAGCTGAGTTTTTATCCTCGGGAAGTAGGCATCCCTTCCAGCACGGTACAGCCCAGTGCTGCACAGTTACTGTGCCACGCTCAACTGTCTTTCTCTGCAACCAGTGTGAATTCTGTAGGCTCAACAGCCCTATAGGCCCTTTCTGTGGTCCTTGAAGAGTAGATGACAGTGAGGATTACAGAACCTGATGCCTTGAAATAAGAATTCCAAGAGTCATAGCAGCAGAAGTTTATAGCACATTAATTTGTCTGTTTTCTTGATTGCTGTACAGAATATGTATATATGTATAGTGTATAGTATATAGTAATATAGCATGTTTACTATATACATATATACAGTAAAACTACTGCTGAATGTAGGAAGCATCCTTTCAGGATGCTGTATGAAACATCCTGAGTTCTGTCTTACATTTTTCTTGGGGCATAATTCTTCAAACAAACATTCTAGGTTTGATCAGATTAAAAAGAGATGTACTTTGAAATGTTTTATGGTGAACATTTTAACAAACATATTTTAAGGTCCAGTGTGGGAAATGCAAGGTTCATTTTGACGTGTTTGCAGATGAAAGGCTAAAGGTGTGATCTGCAATAGAGTGAGGACTGGCCTAATGCTCTTCAGCAGCGTAGGCAAGATTGAAGTTTCCTGCCCCAAGGTTGGGAGCTGGCTAGCCGTGGGGATGGAGAGCTCTGTCAAGTCAGATTTGCTGCGTGTGCTGTCCCAGCATCGTTGGCTCTCCTATATTTGCCCAGATTTCCATTGCTGCTTCTCCTGTTATGCTGGCAGTGACCTGCCTGGCTTCTAGCACAGAAAGAGCAGTCAGGCTGTTCAGCCAGCTCCCCACAGCCTGGCACAGTGGCAGGCTGTCCCTTGCACCTAAATCTGGAGCCTGACCTGACAGCAAATACGTACCAAAGCTGATTGTGTCTTTTCTACGTAGCTTTATTTTACTCTAAGTTCTCTGCCCTTGATTACTGTGCTTTACCAATATCACTGAGGTCTAATATGGAGATGATATTACCACATGGATGACTGATGTTATCAGGTGGATTGAAAACTGACTGGAGTTAAGTCAAGTTAGATGAATAAGAGAGAGAATGTATTCTTCTTGGTTAGCCTTTATTTTATGTCTTCATCAGTGTTCTGTAAAAAGATCATAACAGATTTTTAGCCTGGGAACCATAGAAAGGTCCAGCAAATGACCAGTAAGAGGGACAAACAGACAGCAGAATTGACGCCATGCCCCACAGTTCATAGGAGATCACGTTTTTTTGATGCACACTGGCAAAATGCTACGACAGCAAAAATCTGGGTCTGTGTTTGTGGACACACCACATCCTGGGGCTTTGATTTGATAACTTTCATCTGTGGGTTTGCTGCAGCTGCAATATTGCCTTCCACCTTTATGTATCTCATTACCAGAAAAAAATGTTGATGAACTGGAAGTACAGAGAAAATCAGTGCAAACTGTTAAGCTCTTGGAAGCAGTTTTACAGACAAGGAAATTTTTAAGATAGCCAAATAGCTAAACTTTAGCTTAAAAAGGTGGTTAGCAATGTACAGCTATTTTAGAAGTATAAAAGCTGGAGTAGTGGAACTATCCTGAACTGAAATGATGGGGAAAAAAAAGGAAAATTTAACTAAATGTTTGTAAAAGCTTCCTGGAAGAGAAAGTTATGAGGCTGAGAAGTGTTAATACTCCTTCTTTTGGATATTTAGATCTATTTGGAGAGGTGAAGGAAAACTGTAGCAAGACAGATGCTATTTTGCTGCTTCTTTTTTTTATCTCATACAGTAATAAAATCATAGTGCCAGCAACTTCCATCTTTACTTTCTATGCTTTTTTGAATTTGAAACAATAAGAGACAGAAACTATTTTTCTGTCTTGGACAGATAATCTCAATTGACTAAATATAGTGTTCAGCTGGACAGCCATTGGGTGGAGCAGGAAAATGCTCCTTCCACAGGAGTACCTCTCAAAGTGTAAAAATAATAGTTCCTACTTTGCTTGCAGTTGCGTCAGCACAGGCAAAATCCTCCTGTTCTAGTTCTGTCTGAAATTAGTAGCAGTTGTTTCCAGGAATGGCTATCAGTTATCCAAGAAAGAATTCCTGCCTCTGAGACCTGCTCTGAGGTCCCAGAGATCTTCTGGCACTTAATGCCTTCTTGCCAACAACCCTAGTCTCTTGGGCCTTTTGAACATCACTTCTAGGCAGTGTGGCCATTAGCTGGAGCCCCACAGTGAGTGCATCTCCCCTTTCTGAAGTGACTTACCCTCCTGCTGACAGTGTTTAATTGTTGATGGCTTGCTCGTGTCACCCCCCAGTTGATACCGTACAGTAAATGTCAGGATCTGAATGCTTTCCTTATTTTCACGTAAACATCCTGTTTCCCAGTAATGTGCTATTCCAGGCTATGTATATTTAGTTGGTTAACCCCCCTGCCTAAATTATTGTTACTTTAATTGCATTGCAATGACCTGCATTAATAAAATTCTCGTAAGTGCAGTGTCTGATGTGATTTACTGCTTGCATGTACGCCTATGAACACCGAGCTAACGAGCTCTCTGTATGCTCTTCTTTAAGGAGGATGCGGAGCAACTGTACAAGGCTTGCAAACGCTATGACCTGCTGAACAAGTTCTATCAAGCCTCAAACCAGTGGCAGAAAGCCATTGAAACAGCCGAAGCTCATGACCGGGTTCACCTGCGTACCACTTACTACAACTATGCTAAGCACCTGGAGGCAGTGGGGGAGCACAGCCTTGCCCTCACGCAGTAAGCAGCAGCCGATGGCATCATTGCGTTTGGGGGGAGTTGGAGCCTTGTCCTTCTCTGCAGACTATAGGGGCAGGATGAGGAGGATGCCTGGTAACGGCTACTAACAATTAATTAAAATCTTTTCCCATTGCTGGTGCTTTCTATCTCAGGGGTAAAAGCATTGTTGCAATAAACGGCCCAGCACCATCCCTAAGGCTAAGTATCCTGTCAGGGGCCAGTAGTTGAACACCGATAATAATCCAGTCCCCTGCTTGTCACTAGAAGACTACTGCCTGTGATTTAATTGTTTGAGAGTCTCAGGCACAACCACAGGATTTGGTTTGACTTGGGTACGTCTGGTGCCCAGTCCTCTGCTGTGACTGATGAATTCCTACAGAACTTGGTGGTTGTGATTTTTAACGTGTTTTGTTTGAAATCTTGTTTTTATATGATTTTTACCGTGTGAAATCTCACAATATAAGATCACTTACGTTCAGAGGCAAAGTAGAGCTGTGATGTGATGAGAAAGACCCATAAGATGATCCAAATGGGCAGGAGGGTGAAAGACTCTAGCTGGATGGCATAAATGCAGTGATCTCCCAGTTGTGGAAAAGAGGCAGAAACTGCAGTGGCTGGCAGGACTAAGCAAGATAAGCCCAGGGCTTTTGCTACCTTTTCAGCCACTTGCACAGGGTTGTACTTAATGTTTGGAGAGGTTTCTGGGACATTTCTTTGGAGCATCGCTGGAACTTTGAAGCATTTACAATGCTATGATCACATCGCCTCTCTGATTCCAGGTGCACTGTACCTTTTAGTTTTGATGGGTCTGGCTGATTGCTACAAATCTGAGTAACTGAATAATACCAATGGAGCACTGTTATCAGGGTTGCTGCTTTGTAGCTGTGGCTAATCCAACATTAAGTGGACTTTTTACACAGGAAGTGAAATAATTCTCTTAAGCTAGTCATTTCACATCTCATCTGTTCTTTTTCTCTACAGCTACGAGAAGTCGGATACACACAGGTTTGAGGTACCCCGAATGCTCTCTGAAAACTTACAAGCCCTGGAGAACTACGTCAACAAGATGAAAGACAAGTCAGTGCTATGCTCATTCCTTGTCCTGTGTACACTTCCTATAGTTTTTTTCCCTACAGCACGAGAAGTACAACGGTCTTGAGGTACCACGGCCTTAAAACAACTGCTACGTGAAACAGTCACATGCTGCTCCCTTGTCCTGAGTGGGACTTTGAGGTCAGAAATAAAATCTGTGTAGAGAGCAGGGAATAAGAAGAGAATCCTCTCAGCTGCAAGTTCAATACCTGCCTTATCTATCCACTGTGATCCTCCTTCAGCTTTTCAGGCACACACCATATTTCACTCAGAAACAGCCACACTAGATAGGTATCTAGGCTGAACTCCCTTTTAGCACAGATCTTTGAATGTCACAGGTTGCATTTTGGTAAAACCTGTCTGCATTCTAAAAAATAAAAAATGTATCTAGCCTCGAGTTCAAGATTGCAGAGGTGAGAAATGCATTCTCTGGCACTTCTGGTTACTGCAGTTAATATTGTTGCTTTTCTAGGAGCCTGTGGAAATGGTGGGCACAGTATCTGGAGAGCCAGTCAGCTATGAAATCTGCACTGAAGTACTATGCACTGGCTCAGGATTATTTTTCCCTAGTCCGTGTCCACTGCTTTCAGGGCGACATTCAGAAGGTAAGGCAGACCCTTCCTGTCTGCTTCCAGAGCATTCTCATTCCAGGGATCAGTATGGGCGTAGCATAAAGCTATATGATTTCCTTTTCAGGCTGCTGAAATAGCGAACGAAACAGGGAACTGGGCAGCTTCATACCACTTGGCCCGCCAGTACGAGAGTCAGGGTGAAATCAAGCAGGCTGTACATTTCTACACCAGGGCCCAGGCATTTAACAACGCCATTCGCTTGTGTAAGGTATGGGAAGATGTATGTCTGTGTCCAAAACCAAGGTAGGATTCTATTCTTAGGTAGTATACAGAGTGAAAGTGTTCCAAGACACTGGTACCATTCTGTCCTGTGATGCATTGCTTGTTCAGTCCCGGTCCCCAGTCCTGGTCCCCAGCTATGAAGATGTTCTTGTTTTCTGCCTTCATCTTCTGCAGAAGATTCTTCAATAAATGAGTTGGTTATGTGGGTTGGTTGATTATACAGCTCAATATCATACATATATACATGCATCATACATCTCAACAGAAAACTGCATGAAACAAATTGTCATTATTGCAGCTCAAAGTCATTTGAGTAGCTACAGGTTTTACATAGGAGGTGGCTGGTGGGCTACTATGCAACAGTATAAAGCTGGAAGTCTGAAAGAAGACAGAATTATGAACTCAGTTTGCTTGAATACCAAAACTCAAATCTTTGCTTTTGAACAGGAGAACAATTTAGATGACCAGCTGATGAACCTGGCTCTTCTGAGCTCTCCAGAAGACATGATAGAGGCAGCCTGCTATTATGAGGAAAAAGGGGAGCAAATGGACAGAGCTGTCATGTTGTACCATAAGGTAAATGACTGGTATTTTTACTAAAAACTTTAAACTGATGCAATTTCCACAGCAGAGGAGCATTAAATCAACAGTATGTTTGACTATATGTGCAATTAGTCATTTCTTCATGGTGGATAATGCTTTGTAAAGCCCCTCTAGAGTATCCTGTAAGCTAATTCTGCAGTGCTTATTCTTTAAAAGTCTTTAAAAGGCACATCCTGAATTACAGGCAGGACATTTCTCCAAAGCTCTGGAGCTAGCCTTTGCCACACAGCAATTTGGGGCCCTACAGCTAATTGCTGAAGACCTGGATGAGAAATCAGACCCAGCTCTGCTAGCACGCTGTTCTGATTTTTTTATCGAACACGCTCAGTATGAGAAGGCAATGGAATTGCTGCTAACAGCCAAAAAGGTAAGCTCCATGGATGGACAGAGAGGAGCACAACAGGTATGTACATGCATACTCTTAAGATTTATCTTTTCATAGCTGGTTATTAATAAAGACACATTTGTGAGGCAAGTACAAGTGTAGGGGGCCTGATGACATACATCCCAGGGTCCTGAAGGAATTGTCTGATGTAGTCACCAAGCCACTCTCCATCATATTTGAAAAGTCCTGGCCATCAGATGAAGTCCCTGGTGACTGAAAAAAAGGGAAACATCACTCCTCCCATTTTTAAAAAGTGGTGAAAGGAGAATCCAGTGAACTACAGACTGATGAGCCTCACCTCTGTGCTTGGGAAGATCATGGAAAAGATCCTACTGGAAACAGTACCAAGGCACAAATATGTTCTTTGTGAACAAAATAAGAAAGTATATACTTAAATATGAGCTGATGGCAGGGCACAATGCCTCAAACTTTCTACTTAGAGAAGCCACATCTGCTAACATTTGTGCCTTCATATAGCTTATTTTTAAGGGTTACACCACAAACAGTGTGAAGTATCACAGTAGTACTTGCAACAGCTCATTGCTTTCTTACTTCCTTTAGTACCAAGAAGCTCTGCAACTTTGCCTGAAGCAGAACCTGACCATCACAGAGGAGATGGCTGAGAGAATGACAGTGTCTAAGGACTCCAAGGACCTCTCTGAGGAGTCCCGGAGAGAGCTACTGGAACAAATTGCTGATTGCTGCATGAGACAAGGCAACTACCACTTGGCAACCAAGAAATATACACAAGCAGGAAACAAGTTAAAGGTCAGTTTGGATAGGCAGAAAAAAGCTGGGGAGGCTGAGCCTCTTACCTTTGTCAGATTTTTGCAACAAGAGTGGTTTGAGAAGTAAATCCTGAGACAATTTTCATAGAGCAGGCTATCCAGATGAGACTTCCTAGCCATTTTAGTAGAGCCTGTGTTTGTATTCATAATATTTTTCCCTCTCTGTCCTCCCACCCTTCTTGCATTGCTAGGCTATGAGGGCACTGATGAAATCTGGAGACACAGAGAAAATCATCTTTTTTGCGGGAGTCTCCAGACAGAGAGAGAGTTACATCATGGCAGCCAACTACCTACAATCACTGGATTGGCGCAAGGACCCAGAGATTATGAAGAACATCATTAGCTTCTATACTAAAGGAAGGGCCCTTGACCTGTTGGCAGGATTCTATGATGCATGTGCTCAGGTACGTCCTGCCTTCTGCTGATTCTTCTTTTGTTTGGTTTGTTAGCTCTACAGCGAGATACTCATCTGATCTGTCTTCCTGCAGGTAGAAATCGATGAGTATCAGAATTATGAGAAGGCACAAGGAGCACTTACAGAAGCATGTAAGTGCCTTTCAAAATCAAAAACTATTAGTCTTCCGGACCAGGAAAGCAAACTCACACATTTGCAAAGCAAGATGGCCCTGATCAAACGATTCCTTCATGCTCGGAGGTAAGTTGTGGTATTCAGAGCATGCACACAAATGACAAAAAGATCATACAAGAAGAAGACATTCACAGTTCAGTAAATAAATTTGAAGACTTGCTTCTGTATATTTTTATAGCGTAGAAACAGATGGAATTTTAAAAGGGCTGTTGGCATTCAAGACCAAAGAGTAATCTGAAATATGAGTGACTATGCTCTTTTACTAGAGTTTATTCTGAGGATCCCAAAGAAGCAATCAGACAATGTGAACTTCTTCTAGCTGAGCAAGATCTTGACAGCGCCATCCGTCAGGGTGATGTCTTGGGATTTCTGGTTGGACATTACTTACGGGTGGAGGAATTCCATGTGGTAAGTTAATTCTCAGAGCCTGAACTTTATATAGAGCAGTGCAGCTTGGTATAAGCGCTGAACTCCTATGGGAAGACATTCTATAGTACAGATTCCTTTACAGGAGCTAAATGGCTTGGCAGGGTGTTGTATGCTTAAGGAACTATCTTCAAATTATTATATTTTTAATTACATGGGACTGAAAAGAAAGCTCAGAGAACATGGAGCATAAACAATGCTGGATTCTTAAATACTTCTCATTACTAGAGATAAGAACAGAAAGGTCTGGGTGCATTGTCTCAGCAGCTGCACTGGACTTCATTTGCCACCTCGCCAAACAAAAAAAAGAAAATTATAAAATTATAGTAATTTGAGGCACTAGTAACTCACTTTGTTGATGGCAAACCGAATGTGTCAAGCAGTGCCTGTAGCCAAAAGGGTCTGCCACATCCCAAAGTGCATCAGGCACAGTATTACCAGTGAGTCAAGGGCAATGATTTCAGTTTAAAACTATTCCTCCTTGTCCAGTCATTATCTGACTGAGCAAAAAGTTGCTGTCCATTTTTCTACAAGCCCCCTTTAACTATTGAAAAGCTGCAATGAGGTCTCCCTGGAGCCTTCTCATCTCCAGGCTGAACACCCCCAGATCTCTCAGCTGTTCTCTGTAAGAGAGGTGCTCCAGCCCTCTAATCAACTTTGTGTCCCTCCTCCGGCCCCGCTCTGTGAGCCTCATGGGTCCCTTCTATCCTGGAAAATTCTATGACATGCACCAGGGTTTGGACTAAAACACAGCCTGCTGTTACTATGGAACAGAAGGATGCCAACTGCTCGTTTCTCCAGCCATACTGATTAACCTTACTTGCAACGTGTTGTTTTGACAGTGCTTCAGCTAGCAAGAGAATGTAAAACCAGCCCTATGAGACCCATTCTTTCTTATACTGAAAACGATAGAATTGACAAGCCCCTGTGCAAAGGCTTCATGGTATCAAATGCTGAATTGTTCTGACCTAGTGTTAGCTCCTTTCCACCAGTGCACTCCATCAGTTCAAGAGCTCATCAGCTAAGCACTCGAGGCAGATGCTTTTTACACTTTTGCTGGAATTTGTAGAAGCAGTAAACCCCCACACATGCACCTGTAACAGTAATCTGTGTTTTTCTTTAGGCTTACCGGTATCTGGAAGAGATGCGGAAAAGAATTCCATGCACAAACCTGACTTACTATGTCAATCAGCAGACCATCGAGGCAGTTCACAGAGGAGTAGGCATTCCCATAAACCAAAGCCTGTTTCCAGAGCAAAGTCACCACAGCAGTATGGAGACCAAGGAAGTGGAAGAGGAGGTGGCTGAGGAAGTGGAGGATCCCTGATAATTTGTACTTACCAAAGACTTTAACACTAGGTCATTTATTCTGTCCTCATTAGGGGTCACACCAGTCAACCCACTGCTGCAGACAGACTTTTTGGTTATTACCAAGAAATTTATTTTTTTCTGCTTGACTGTACAAGCAACATTACTGAAATTATGTATCATTTCAAACACTACATACAAAGAGCTGGGTATATAGACCCTGTTCTTAATCTAGTTTTAGTATTTTAATAAATTTGAAGGGAAAAAAAGAGAGAGAGAGATGTGTATTGTAACTTCAGTCTTGTTCAAGTCCAGAAAAGAGCGGAGGTAAGAATTCCTGAGCTGACAATTTTCAAGTACAGCTTTGGTCTGCTGAGGTGCTAACATATTTATCTTTCCTTAGAAGGCAGAATCTCTGGCCTGCTTGGCTAGGAGCTTGGTCAAAAGTCAAACTACTCCCATACTGCAGAAGAGAGGGAGACTTCCCCACTCCAAAGCTTTATTAAAAATATAGGGCCATGCAGACTAGACCTTTTGAGATCAAAATCTGGGCCTTAGTTACACTTTAGTACCACCTTCTTTCTGTACTAATATTACAGCAAAAGAATTCTGGCTTTGTAACTCCAGTACAGCTCTAACTCAAACTTTTAACATTTGGCACATTTTTTCAAACTTCACTGCAGCTATTCCACGCTTATAGCTCAGCTGCTGCAGTGTCATTGCTGCCACCACACTACCCTGTGCTTCAAACAGCAGACCTTTAACTATTCCACCAAATGCTGCCAGAAGACATGGGAGTTTGTTTTTTTTTTTATAGGTATGTCACAGCCCTGGGAGGTAAGTGGCTGTTTCCAGCCCTGTTTTTCTGACAAGAAGTCAGCTATGAGCTCTTCCCTGTATTTTTAGCAGAGGACTCAAACTTGCCAAGGTTATAAATAGCTGGGGGTGGGGGCTGGGGGAGGTGTGGAGAGGATGGCAGTGCTAGCCTACCTTCCTGCATCTGTACACTCCGTACCGGATAGCAGTAGCTCACTAAATTGGCCTCCACTACAAAGTCCAGATGTCAAGTCAGGTTCGCTGGCGTACAGCTCTGCACCCTTCCCCCTTCTTCCTCTTCTCCAGCCAGGTGACCATTGAAGAGGCCCCAGCAGTGCCTACATACATCCAGCTGGCAAGAGTACGAGGTAAAGTCATTTCTGTTACCCTTCAGCTAGGAAGGGACAATTTTGTTGAGTTTCTTTTTCAGGTTCTCCATTAGTAGCAAGTTCTGCAAGGCCAGCCTCCTGCAGTCCCCATCTGGATCTTTTTCTACCACATCTGTAAAAGAATAAGCCACTGTAAGTTGGAAAATTGGTGGCAAAAACAGACTTTTACCTCACATGTTTGTACCGTATCAGTCACCACCACAGAACAGCACTAAATGAAACACCAGAAGAAATCCTCCATGCCAGAATTTATATTTGTGCCCTCGAGCTATTCTACAGCTGACCTGCTAGCATGAATGCAGTTTACAATTAGAAATCAACTTATTCAAAACCCTGATGTCTCCATGCTCCCGGTTCCTACAGCCTGAACAAATGCTCAGTGCTCCCTCCCGAAACCCATGGTCACAGCACACTTGACTGGAGGAAAGAAAGAAGCAGGCCCTGAGCTTCCACACGTTTTCAGTTGTGCTTCTGATAAACGAGTCAGTCTCTTACACTTTCTGCAGCATGTAAGGGAGGGGATTAAGCTGCTTCAAGCAGCTGTTATTTCAGGGGCCCTTACTAGGCCTGCAAAGTAAAAACCAGGATGCACGCAGGATGTCTGAGCAGGGGGAGCCTGGAAGAGCTGAGAGCCTGTGTAAGGATATCCTGTACGCACAAGCAGCGCGCTCAGAGCCCAGCACTGTCAGCCCAAACACATGACTCATTCAGATTGAGTAGAGCTATTTATAAACTCAGGGAGAGCTTCATTATGGTGTTTCCAAACTCCCTCTACAGAAGCAAAAAGGGGAAGGCTACAAGACAGGTTACTACAAGCTTGTAAGCTAAGAGCCTGCTGTTGGCACTGCTTCTAACTGCATGAGTACAGACCTTGAATTGCTGCCACCGAAAGGGAGGCACTGGGCACTAGAATACACTCAGGTTCTTCCATAAGAGAAGCTTACCCATGACAGCACTTTCAAGGGGTGGGGAATTCCCTCAATTCCTCAGCAGCTGCCTTTGAAGGAACCGTTTCCTAGAAATGCTTAGGTGTTCCCCTCCTCCCTGCCCAGGAACAGTTAGGCTGCTCATGTTGTAGGTAGCTTCTCTCTACAGCTGAAATGTCCCAAAGCAGCCACTAACGGGACTACTGTGACAGCACCCGAAACTTCTTACACCATCCTGCGAACACTTTCTAAAGGGAAACAGTTCTAGTTCCAGCCCCAACTCTGTAGAGCAGGACCAGTTATTCCTGCTATGAACGACAGCCATCTGCACAGGCTGGGAGGTAATCACAAGCTGGAGCAGAGGTAGAGATTTCTGCCACATGCAGCAGGGAGATTATTTTCCAGTCCCAATTTGTGTTTTAGCCATAGGAGAAATGCACAAGCTCTAAGCAGAAACCCAAAGCTGTGACTTCTCCCAGCTGTTAGGCATAATAGTAGAAGGCTTGCATGCATGACAGCTTGTCATTTTTCCCCGCTATAACAGCAGACCTAACAGATGTTGCTTCTTCTTTCAAATCTTGTCTGGAACAGCAAGTGAACAGCAAGTCTGCTAGCTCAAAACCGTGACTCAGTCACAAAAGCAGGTCTCGACTGACCTCAGCTACTGGAGCAGCAAGAGCCCAGTACCTCCCTGTGATAGTGTTTTACCAACAATCGTACAACAAACAGCAAAGCCACAGCCCCAGAAGTTGTTTCAGGAAGCAGCTCTAGAAGGATTCGTAGGTTTTAAAATACACTTTAATCGTATCTGACCAGATGCAGAGCCAAGTGCATTCTTTAACATTTCTGAGCTTTCCTTTCCCTGGTACGCACACACCTCTCAGCTTATTCATTCCCACCAGGATCCATCACACAATTTTCATGCAACAGCCCCACATTAAAAAACAATTACACTTCCTACAGGCATAAGAGATGCTGCTAGCTCTGTCCTCCTTCTTCCAAAAGTAACCCATTAAAGCAGGCTACACAGACCCTCGTTTAGAAGAGGTGGTCACAGCCTTCCTCAAAAGTCTTTACTTGCTAATAGCAGTGGTTAACAACAAAGACAAACAGATGCTTCAGAGCACACTGCATGTCATGGGAAAAGTAAAGCTTTTGGCCCCACAAGGCAGCTCTCTTCCTCTTAAAGGACACAGAGCTCCACAACGTGCAAGGATCAGAGGCCGCCTGTGTCAGTGTTGCTTCCTGCCTGCTCCCTGGGGGAAGCCAACTCACCAAGAGTGAGAATGGTGAAGGAAACCAACCCTGGGGAGTCACATGAGGGCCACTCAGAATACAGTGGAGGCTTCAGAGGCACAAAGCACACAGCATTATTTCCTCTTGTACTTGCAGCACGCTGCCATACGCAATCACAAGTATGTGCAGTCCCAGCTTAGCACAACCCAGCAAAACTGCAGCCTGCACACGGTGCATCTCACATCAATACAAACCGAGTCATTTGCTCTGTCATAGGTTGTTCAGCAGCAGTAGGATGTTAGGAGATGGTGCCATGCTCTTCTTCCTTTTGTTATTAGCACTAAGGAAACCCATCTTCTGTGCACACAGTTTAAAACAAGTCTTGTATGTTACTGCCAGTCAGTCACCGTCTGGATGTAACAGGCATGGTTTGGGCTGGTATACAGTTACTTTTCTTTGAAGAGGCTCACACAGTGCTGTGTATATATTTTTTTCTTATTTTATATAAAAATAGTGGTGCTACACACTGATGGTTTAGTTGTTGCAGAACAGTGCTTACAAGAGCCACAGACTTTTCTGCTTTTTACTTTGCCCTGCCAGCAAGTAGGCTGGGGGCACACCAGAAGCTGGGATTCTCTCCCCTGTCCCACCTGGGAAGAGTGCGTGTGGTGCTGAGCTGCCTGCCAGGGCTAAGCCACAACAAACATGCAATATGACAGTGTGTTCTGCAGCTTCAGGAGCTGGGTGGTTGGAGGCTTAGAAAGAGAAAGGGAGCACGTGGTGTATTTTGGGATATTTGCTTGGCAACCATTTCAAACTTTGAGGACAGTCACACTTCGAAATGCCATAAGCATCTCTCAGCTTATACTTTAATACCTCTGCAACGTGTCTACAGCACAGAGTGTGGTCTGCTATTTGTCCTAGACTTATGACCAAGCAATAAATATGTTTATCATGCAAGCCTGAGGAGCACAGCACAAGGACATTATTGCTACAGTCACAATTCTAAAGAGACGTTGCATGCAAACTGCAGCACTAACCAGAAAAACATTGGCATACACCACCACATCTTACCTCCCAGCCAGGACTGAGTCTCCAAAAGCTCTTCTGTCATGTTGTTCAGAAGATACTCCGCAGGGACACTGACCAGCATAGAAGATATACAGGATAAAAGACCCTGACGCACATACCTGTTGGAGAAAGACCAAACTAGTTAAAACCTGCAGCTTCTTGCTCTACCTTGATTTACTTATTATTCCTCACCTCCAGGGTTCTCCAGCTTCCACTATCTCTTATAACTATTGCCAGTGTTCATACTGACTAGGAGTGCAACCATGCACCAGCTGGCACAGGCACTCACACACAGAGCCCCTGCCGTGTCTCAGGGAGCCCAGCATAACTCAGCGACCTGCAATAGTGCGAGGTTAAAACAGCAGCTGGATGTTTACAGCATTTTAGCTACATCTTAATTTCTTTCCAAGTCACATGCAGGAACTGAATCTAGTATTTTCAGCTTCCTCACTTGAAATAGCTGAAAACATCACAAGGATAGTTGAAGGAGAAAAATCTGTCGTGCTTTTTGGAGGTAATGACTGTATCTCAACACCAGAAGACATTAGCTAAGTTCCTATGTTGGTCTGACATTAAAGCAATATTTTCATTACATGCTCTTGCAATGCTCAGTCATAAGAACACCAGACCAGAGGTAAGCATAAATAAGAATAGATTAAGTCATTGACATTCTCAGCCAGGTGGTGGTCGTGGACAAGGAGAGGTTGTGGCTGGATGCTTACTCACAGGGGATCTTTGAGAACAAAAGCACACAACTACAACTCACGAGTCAGTGTGGAAACGCAGAGCCCAAACAAACTCCATCAGTGCCTTTCCCATCGCAGTAACTGCCTGTAAAACAGGATGATGACACAAACACTGAATACCTTCACATCCACACCTACCCTCAAGATCTGGGCCTTGATGTACACTGCTGTGATCCTAACATCAAGGTTACAACCAGCTATTTTATAGATGAGGAAACTGAAGCAGTGAATAGTAAAGGTATGTCCAGCTTCCCACAGAAGTTGGAAGAAAAACTATCAGAAGCAGCAGAAGAAAGTGCAGGGATGTCTGAATCCCCTATCTCCTTTCAGCCCTTTTAGGGACTTTTCAGCACATGACTCAAACTTACTGCCAGTCTATGTGTAGCAGGCCCCAGGATGCACCCCCAGGTTCCCAGGCTAGAAGTCAGTCCCGCTGCCTGAAAGCTCGTTCAGCCTTTCTTACCATAGTGTTGACAGCCAGGTACAGCAGGACTGCTAATGTGTGGACCAGTCTTCCAAGGACAAAGTGATCTTCCCCCAGGAGATCAAAAGTTGATAAAGGCCTGCAAGCACAAGATAAATGGTTCTGTGGCAGTGACAGGGCTGAATCTTTGGAATGGTCAGGGTGGCTGTGCAAAAGCAAACTGTCTCATAGAAGTCTGAATCCCTAAAAAGAGTTATGCAGTCATTCCCATTTCAACATGGGCTGCTTGTTCCCACACCAGTAACATCCCCTACAGCAGGGATCACGAGCCCTACCAACAGGCTAGCTTTACATGGAAGCAACTGCATGCAAAAGCTAGCACTGCTGCCATACTACAAACAAACCATTCAGACAGATATTACAAGAATTTGGATTCCTATGGCATCAGTTACTGATTCTCCCTTAGGTAAACTTGAGAGTAAAATGTCCTGTGCACTATAACACAGCCAAAATCATCCTCTCTAAGCTTGATCAATGAGCCAGGCATCAGCAGGGTGTCCCAGGACTCCCACACAGCTTCTGGGCTTTACTCTGCTGCTCTCAGACAAGCAGAAAGGCTCACTCTTGCTGTTGCCAAACCACATCCAACGTGTTCACTCACCTGTCAAAGTTCTGGAGCAATGGAAAAAAGAAGTGCCCAGCAACAGAATTGAATTCATTTGGGCCAGAAGCCACTTGCACTTGAGATGGGCCCTGTCCAAGAGAAAAATGTAGACACAAGATGTAATATCCAGCTCTTCTACATTCATCCACTGCAGCCAACCCACTGTCAACTACTGCTTACCTGTACCCCTATGACTGCTAGTTCCCAGACCAGTCACCTCACTTCCCACTTAAGATCCTCTCACACATCTAAGTATTTCAGGACAATGTATCTCAGTACTGCTGGGTTACATATTAAAACCAAGAACATTCAAGGTGTAGAGGAGTTTTGGAAAGCAAGTCCTCTAGGACCTGTGAAACTGGCATCAGTTCATCTCCCTGAAAAAGAGAAGCCTGAGACAGTCCAGTCTGAAGGAGGATGCCATGGGATCTGTGAGGTGCAGTTAAGAGCTCCCTGCAGTGGCCAGACAAGCTCAGAACAGGCACAGAACAGACACAGCCATCCCTCAATGTGAGACAAGGAGTTCAAGGTTTATTTCCTGCTGAGAAAGGACTATGGGATTTGGTACTTCCCATGCAAAAAAAAAAAAAAAAAAAAGCAAGATTAAAGTGAAACTGACATTTTAAGTTACCCAGTATTGCCTCTGGATTGAGCCTGATTTCACAGGTATTTTGCTCTTTCCAGACAGAACTACAGCAAGTCATCCAGTCCATATTTTTGCTGAATTTGACATAAGCCCTGGTCTCACCTTAGCAAACCTCCTAGTCTTGCTTTTGATCCTCTCATCGACAATTCTTCTCCAGTCCTTAGAGCTGTCACTTGCAGGAAGGAGCTGGACACAAGGCTTCTCGACATGCTTGGTCTTCCCATGCACTTTGGGACAGGACAGTTCCCGAGCTGCCAAAACCAATACCTAGAGGGAAAAAAAGGAATGTTCTGTTAAAAGGGAATAATCCCTGTACAAGGCAACAACAACAGCTAACCTGCACCCAAACCAGTCAGAACAGCAAGGCAGAAAGGCACAATGGTTCTAGAATTAAGAAAACAGGGTGAGTGCCTGAACCCCATCAACTGACTCCGAGGTATTTGGTCAACAGCTCAGTCACTCAACTCTGAAACAGAGCAGGGGCTCCTTTTTCAGACACGGTAAGTGAAATGATGTGGAAGGAGCCACAATTTGGTTACTGTCTTTCAGAAAGTGAAGAGATCACAGACTGATGACACATTAGGAAACAGCAGCTGCTGTTAGGCAATAGACATCACACACTGCATGCTGTGGGCAAGGACTGCTGTCTAATTGAGTGTAGCAGGGTTAAGAACAAGAGGGGAATGCCAGGCATAAATGCTAACATAACAGATTCCTACACTTGAGCTTCCTCCTCACCTGTTCCTACAAGGCATACAGGTTAACACCTTTACATCTTAGGGACACTGCACTGGTGCAACAAAGCCACAATGAAAATGAGAAGCAAGGAGATGAGCACTTACATCAAGAATATCCATGCGCTGACGCAGACTGTAGTTCAGGGAGTAGAACTGGGAGGTCAAGTACTGTGCTACCTGGACAGAAAAAATCAAGGAGCAGTGAACCCAGTAAACCCAGTAAACAGCCTTTCCCCTAATTCTGAAAATTCTAAATTCTCCATTTCAGGCAAAGTCCTGCTCCCTGTTAGTTAACAACAAGCCTCCAAGACAAGGGAAGAGAAACACTGTACGAATGGGGGAAATTCAGACACGCTTCTAGATTCTCCCAGAGGAAGTAAACAACAAAAGGGATTTTGTGATCCTTCTCTCCCTCCTATGCAGAGGCATCCAAACGTTATGGCAGCTGATTACAAACAGCGGTCAAATCTTTTAGAGACTGTGTGCCTCAGCTTCATTCTATGTGAAGCAATCTCCCTTCAGCACAACAAGTCCTTATACCAGACAAGGCAATTTAGATATGATTTATCCATATACCAAATCTCTCCCAGTCTGCTACGGCTTTTGACTGAGTTTTTCTTTCCTGTTGTCTGCCATCCATTGCAGATTCTTCAGTATACAGCCCATCTCTGTGTAAGTGCTGTCAGACATCAGCCAGCTGTTCTACCACACTGATAGCTGCTTCTACAAAGATAAAAGACTTCACCTGCTAAAATTTTTCCCTGTGCCTCAACTGAAAAAGGGAAGAAGTAAGAGAGACTAACAGGTATTGGATCCACGGTTAGAACAGCTACTTGGGCCCTCTGACGGAGCTCTGCAAAGCCTTCAATGCAGGTCTTCTCCTCCAGATGCAGTAGTATTTTTGCCAACTCCACACTAACCTGCTCAAAATAAGAAAAAAAAAAAAAAGGAATCAAGTCACTGCAGGTGTTTTCTTTCTCATAGGATTTACAGAACAGAGCCCACTTTCCACTTCTAATGCTTAAGTAAAGAAAATGAGGCAGAATACAGGCAACAACATGCTGCCCTTCGCATATGAGGGAGAGAAAAGGTATCAAGATAAATGCCATCAAGACAGATATCTCAAAACACGTATCAACCCCTTAGGCTGATTTCTCTGTCCACATTCACATTTCACTTTGGCTTTTTGGACAAATGGTAAACATCATAAGACAGGAAAACCTATCACTGAAATTTGTGGGTTAAAGGGCACTGTAGTACATGCAACGCCCACCCAGTCCCTTACCATACTACAGCCCTTCCCTCTCTCAGCTGGCCGAGGCACCTACCGCTGGCACTACAAATCCCATCTTCAGCTGTTCACTAACAGGTAGTGGTGAGCAATCAAACCAGTCCTAAGTTCCTCTCATAAAAGCTTTTTGTCTTGATCAGTACGATCCACCTACTCCCTCAGGAAGTACACTTCTACAAGCAAATAGGGAAGTCTGTTTGACTTTATCCCCCCCTTTTGTTAGGAAATAACAATTCAATTTCAATTCAATATCAAAATGACATCCAAAATTAAAATCATTTTGTCTGTAGGATTCATGCCTCCCCTGTAAATTTCCTTTCTGAAGTTTTTCCTGCTCAGCACAAGGCACGGAGCTTGCTCTGCTGCCTCGAGTTACTGGTGAGCTCTACTTGCAAACGCACTTCATTTTCAGTGCTGGAGCTGCTAGATGCCATGCTGCTGTCAGAACATTTGCCCGCTTCTTTGCTTCTTTGTGCTCTCTAGCCTAGCAAAATGCTTGCAAAGCAACTATTTCCTTCTATTTCCCTTCCCAAGTTGAAAGCTCTAAGTTCAGGTACACACAGCTCTGCTGGCTGCTCTGTTGGCACATTTAGTCTCCTCACAAGGGCAAAAGGATAACCTTGTGTTAGAGCCCACCAGTAACTGTTAGCTCAGACTACTTCACCTCTCTTGTTGCTGCTGGATTCTTCCGAACCAAGCTCTCAAGAGCCTTGACTGTAGCTTCCCATTTGTCCACGTCTTCAGATCCTGTCAGGACTGAAGGACAAAAGAAACAGAAATTATTAATAGAGTTGTTCTGCTTGGGTGTATACCCCAACTTTCTTCTGCCAGTATTCTGTCCTTTTATAGGAAAGTATCACTGACCCTGCACAGGAGCAGCATTAGGAAACTACACAAATTACTCAGAAGTGATGGTTTAGCACTGGAGTCCAGATAACTGAAATACTACAAATTGAGCGTTTCAATTCATTGAGTAATTCTGACCTTCTTCAAATTAGCTCAGAACAAAGATAAACCTAAAGAGACCACTCTCCCCAGAACAGTAAGAAGCAGATGAAAACTCAGCCCACGATCTCCTACCTTCAATACAGTCTCGAATATACACTGGAGCCTTAGTCTTTAGTTCTTTGTCCTCTGACATGTCATAAGGAGTAAGATCATCATCACTGTAAAAGAAATAAAGGCAGGAGTTAGCTTATGGGGTACAGCTGTTCTCCTTCCCTCAGCTATCCACACAAAGCAAAGCAGCAGCACAGGCACTATTGTAACGCCGCCACTCTTGCATAATCTAGCAGCACTGCTGAAGCTGAGGCTAGAAGAGTTCCTTAGGGAGTTCTATGAATTTCTCTGAATCCCAGCGAAAGAGCAGTTCTGTAACCAGCTCTGGAACTAGATCTCTTGGTCGAGTGCAGAAGTAATCAGGTGACCCAGAGGCAAGAAGCCAGTTCTTAAGATTTCTTTAGGTATTGGTAAAGTGATAGGACATGACAGGCCCACTAAGTGGGTAGATACATTGATAATTCCAGAAAAAAAAAAGTATATTATGTCAGTCAAATGGAATAAATATCACGATTGTACACGACCATGGCTTTGCTCCAGTTATTGATTAACATACTTGCATGCAGTCATGCACAACATCCTACTCAGCTAAACCAGCTCTGCTCCCTCATTCTGGTCAGAAAACACAAGATCACCGAGGTAAGCAGCAACCAATAGCTCCCTTCTCTCCAAGTCTTCCCCAAAGAACCAACCACTCCCTGTTCCATTTCCTATCAGCTTCTTGTCCCCATACCTGTCAAGCTCAGTATCCGACTCCTCATCTGACACCACATGGGCTGCCGCTGTATGGGATTTTGCGTTACTTTCCGATGCTGATGGCAGTGCAGCATCTGCTTTCTCCTTCCTACTGTGAGCAACAAGAAGCATTAAAACCAGTAAGATTAACAGTCCCTATTCACGAGCAAAAAAACATCCATACCACCAGCCCTTGCTGTCTCAGTAGAATGGCAGGTAATTATTTCTACTGCAGTCTCCCACCTAGCTCAGCCTTCATAAAGAACAAAGTCCCAGGAGGCAGAACCGTTCAGTTCTACTCAGGAGAACACAAGACCCCTGGGAACTGCAGCATGGTTTCACCACGTGTGGCTATCAAACAGGCAATTCTAATATATGCTACCATTTCAATTATGAATTTCAAATAATTATACTGCATTATAAGAATAAGGGGCATTCCAATCCTTTGTGAGAATACAAGGAATGACTGGATAGATGAGGACTCTTCAGTCTGGAAGAGACAAGTGATACCATAGACAAATAAAGTCACAAGGAGCAGAAAAAAGGTAAAAATGGGACACTGCATCTTTTCCAGATGTAGACTCTGCAAATAATCAACATCGGGGCTGGGCTGGTGGGTGGGTAATATAACTTGCCAAGTTCCTCAGTATGTTTCTTGGTATTTGCTACTTAAAAGGCATGGAAATGAAGAGTAGCAATATCTTACCTGTCGTCTGGGACACTTGGGACACAGAACGACGGAGCCTGCACCAGAAGGGACTTCAGTTCTCTTGATTCATCATCTTCTTCGTACTAGACATTCAGAAGAACCGTTACTTTAAGATTGCAAGCATGACCAGCATTCAACATCTGCCCCTTCTGCAGTGTACAAATGAGGACTGAATCAGAACAGACAACACACACCAATCCTATTTGTTTCAATCACTGTTCAGCCAGCAGTAACCTAAGATGCTGCACGGTGATCTGTACCATATGTAATCTTTATCCCTACATTTAATGGTAGTACTTGGTCAGCCCTTGTCTGACTGTTATTTACAATCTTTAAAACGTTTAATAACTGGCTACGCAACATGATGGATGATGCAGATTTTTAAAGAAAGGATGCAGTTTTTATCACATAATTCTTACAAACCCTACTACAAACAGCACAGCAAAAATCCCCACGTTTATCTTGAGAATCTCAACTCAGAGATGTTCCTACCATTACAGGGACTGCATGCTCACCCCTGGTTTAGGTGTGAAGTTCCCTCTTAACTTCCATAGATCAGAATCTCATGCAGTGATAAATCTCTAGCACTCCATTATTAATTAACAGTTTGCACTAAGCTTTGCCATCAGAATACACCCCTAAGCCACTCTCACACATCCATTTGTTTTCTATGCAACTGTTTTTTGTGAGCAGACACCCTGTTGCTGCCTCCCTTTATTTCCAGATAGTGTTAGAACTCACTGTAACACCCCAGATCACCCACTTTAAAGCTCGTATTTCCTCTGTACCTTGCACACCAAAGAAAAATTTCATCATAGCCCTCACCTGAAACTTCAGGACAGGCCCATCGGTGTTTATTTTTGAACTAATGCTCTCTGCCACAATCATTCCCAGGCGCCGGATCTGTGGCAGGCTGCTCTCCAAGTGACATTTCACGCCCTCCATCATGCTTGTAAGAAGCTCTGAAAAAATAAATGCACATGAAACAAAGTCAGAAAAAAACACGCATCTTCATGCCAGTTCCATGAGAGGGCAACATTAGCCGCTCACCACCCAACAACGGGTAGAAAGCTAAAAAGGGCCTTTCCCTTCAGCACCAACAGAATAAAAACATGCTTTTTCACGGGCTGGAAAGTCAACAAAACATTACAAGAATATTCTAAATTTGGAGTATTTACTTTTTCAAGGGCTGGAGCACCTCTCCTATGGGGACAGGCTGAGAGTTGGGGCTGTTCAGCCTCTAGAAGAAAAGGCTGTGGGGTGACCTTACTGCAGTCTTTCAGTACTTACAGGGGGCTTTATAAAAAAGAGAGCGTATTTTTGCTCAGTCAGATAATGACAGGACAAGGAGGAACGGTTTAAAGCTAAAAGAGGGCAGGTTTAGATTAGAGGGTAAGAGGAAATTCTTCAGAGGGTGCTGAGGCACAGGCTGCCCGGAGAGCCTGTGGATGCCCCATCCCTGGAGGTGTTCAAGGCCAGGTTGAACGGGGCCCTGGGCACCCTGACCTAGTGGGAGGTGTCCCTGCCCATGGCAGGGGGATGAAACTGGGTGGTCTTTCAGGTCCTTTCCAACCCAAGCCATTCTGTGGCTCCACTCCACTATGCTCGACATAAATCCCAAGCAGCGAGTCCCTGCCTGCAACTCCCCATCCCCACCCACCCAACCAGCGACCCCACCAAGGGCAGCAGAACGACGCAGAGGACAGAGCCCAACCGAACAGCTTTTTATTCTTGGTGCACTCCCCACCCCAACAAAACGAAGTTGGGCCAATTTTGATAGCCGGTGCATCAAAACGAGATCTTTTCCTCCTCAACAGTCAGTTTTTCTGTGAAGCACAACTATGCCCTGCTTCTCCTGCCACCTCACCTTGTCGGCAGCTCTCTATTTCAGAATCCTTCAGATGCGAGAGGCAGATGAGGATGGCCTTGCTAATATATTCCTGCTGCTCAGGTGGGGAGTGTTTCACAGCACTGCTACTGCTCCACGTCTCCAAGAGTTCTTGCAGCACCTGAATCAGAGGATAAACAACTTTGTTTGCCCAAATTGGCTTGAAACAGATTGTTTCCATACATAATTTCCTTTCTGAAGGAACACTCAAGCTTTCATACAGCACATGAAATTTATGATGGTCCTTTGGTCTTCACACTTTCCCAGTGGTAATTACTCACCCCGCCAATGGAGCTAACTTGGTATTTCAGGGCCCAAAACGACATTGTGCTTGGCCAACTAAGAAGTCTGTACCACCTCCCTTTAATACCTTGTTAAAATAATGCTTTTTGCTTAAAAGTGGTAAGTACATTTGTTTCTCATAAGAACATGTATTTTTTTTGCACACCATTTATCAAAAACCAGTGCTATACTGTTTACATAATGCTTTTAGTCCAACCTTCAAACTCTAAATAGCTTCCAGGACTCACAGAACCTTTAGAACAGAACCTTTTAGAACACAACGGTGGGGAAAAATATATAAAATATATCAAAAAGTCGCCATTACAAATCTATAGCTATTTCCAGAGATAACAACTTCCTACAAGTTCCATTAAACTGCTGACTCGGAGAGGGAAAAGATCTGCATCCCTGCTGAAGCAAAGGTAGATAACAAAGCTTCCAAAGCATGAACCATTCTGCACGGACTGCTCTCAGCCAACTTCAGCGCTTTCTGCTGTTTGCCACACAGCCAGGGGATGAAGGAGAAATCTGAGAAGGACAGAGCATGTGGGACCCTTGCAGGAATCCAGGCATCATTAGTTTTGCTGCTGGGAAGGCAATTTGCCAATTAAATGTGAAAAACTAACACCAGAGTGCAGAGAGTCCTTGCCTAGACTATCACAATTCATTTGTTCTGCACCAGCCGGTGCTGCAGGGCCTCCTTCACTCTCATGAACAGGAGCAGAAGAGACTCAGAGAAGCACCCTAATTCTCCACCACGCAGACACCCACTCACATCAGCATTTTTTCCAGCAGATACATCACCAGAAATGTGACTTAACCTTACTTTGATCAATAAGGCACGCCGAAGGCTGTCCAGGGACAGGTAGCCAAGGAGATTCTGTAGCACTGCAGTCTGTAAAGCAAGACCCATGGTTTTCATTAACTGGGAACAAAGCTGTCATCCAGCAATGCACAGCGTGTTTGTTAAACTTTTAAGTGTGAGGGACTGGTTGACAATATTCAAAGACTGAAGAGTATGCAAATTAGGAAAAAAAAGTGCATCACATGAAACTGCTGATGAAACATGGAAAACCAAGAGCGGAATCAGTATTTGTACCACCAAGAACAGACAAACACAGCACAGAAACAGTCCAGAGAATAAGCCTCAAAGCCACCAGATCAGCGCCCTGGGAAGGGCAGCTGTTCAATGCAGCCCTCACCGTGTAGCCGTACTGCAAGAGGAGGAACTTCTGCGTCACAACAAACTGAGCGTGCTTGTTTTTCACAACCAGGTTCCCCAGCAGCCTAGACAAGACATCTGCCCTGGCAAGACAAGTCAACAGCAAAACGTTAGGAAGCCCTGGAGTTACTGTCACGCTGTCTCCACTCCTATGGATTTCTGTCAGCAGCTTATTGCAAAGAAGTCAAAAGCTAGGAATCACTAAAACACCTTTAAACATTAAGAGCCAGTCTGTGATTTTTTTTTAACTCCACGTCATGGCCCAGACCTTTACAGAATAGCGCAGGTTCTACCCAAGGGGGAACAATCAGGCTGCTCCTTTACCCCTACGCACACAAACACACATGCCAGCATCTCTCAGAAACAGCCTCTGCAGCTATTTGTGAGAAAGCTGCAGTCTTTGCTCAGGAATCAGGAAAGAAAACAGAGTTCTTACCCTGGTGCTCTCTCAACAAAACCAAGGACCACCGGCCTCCATGCAGCGGTCTGGCACACACTCAACCAGGTGCCAAGAAATCCTTTGCCAGATGCAGTCCGACTTGGTGAGCTCCGCGAGGCGGGGCACCAAAACACTCAGAATTTCTTCTGAAGTAGAAGAGAGAAAAAGAGGTAAATACACGGACAGGACGGATGGACTAAGAGGTAAATACACGGATTGGCGCGACGGAGCTCAGGGCCAGCCTGCTTAGTTAAAGATCCTTACAGGTGGAGAAATACAGCAGATAATTCTGAATCTCTCCCGTGGTTAGAACTAACCTAAGGCCGAAGAAACTTGTAGGTATTCCTCATCAGAGCAAACAGATAGAAAATCTCTCCTTCCCCCAGGCCCTGTTAACTCCTACTGTGGCCTCAAAGTTGTGGCGGGCCCGAATGAAGGCTGGTCACGTAAGGGGAGTGTTACACACGGGGAGGGATTTTTGTTGGTATCCACAGCAGGCTCTCAGACCGCTGGATGAGAAGTGCCAGAAGGTCATCTCATAATCATGGCCCAAACGGCACCACAAGAAGACCAGAAGCCTCAACAGTATTTTTAGAGCCAAGCAGACTGTGCTCACGTGAGCTGATAAAAAAGCATCAGCATCTGACAGATCCGTAGCTGAGCAACCTCAGGAAGCAGAGAGCAGCTCCTGAAGCCCCAGGAGCCTCCTACTCCCTCTGGTGATCAGTGTCATAGTCACACCTCCTCACTAACCCAGCAAACCAGGCTTTCCCTCTCCCCAAATGTTATCATAAAGCACTCACTTTGTCTCCCACGAATGCAGACCTTCCCCAGAACATGAGAAAGAGCAGATATTGAGCAATCCGAGCCACCTGGGATAAAACAGACACAAACATAACATCACCACCACCAGCAGCATCCAGAGCAGGCACACTTCTGCAGGTGCTGAAGCCTGAAAGCACGGATTAATTCCCTTCTTGAGGCACACTCCCTTCTCCCTCCACCACCTGCCTTCAAGAACAAAAAGTCTCCAGGATTATCTGCACACAGGCGGTGTGAGAAGCCTGAAGCAGTTCAGTCCTGCTTTAACACAGCGGTGATAAAAGCACATGCTCATTCAGCACTGTTAGGCTGGCTACACACGCAGGCTTACTTCCACACCATTAACTGAGCGCAGACATTAATTGAGCTAAATTCTGGCAATGGATGAAGATATTTAGCAGCTCATAAAACTGCTGCTTTCATCAGGATTTTAAACAGCCTCAGCCATCTTTCTCACTCCTTGTACCTTATACTCTTACGTGCAGGGAATCTCAGCCTGGAAGGTGAAGGGCAGGCTCTGTAACACCCATTATCTGCATTTAAAAAGCCAGCACAGGGGTCTGTGTGTGAAACCCTCCCGGGGAAGCCCTGCCCCAGCCGCACCGCCCTCCCGCCGCCCCCACCTCTCAGGGCAGCGGCGACCTCGTGCAGCGCCTCGACGATGGCAGCGGCCAGCAGCGGGAAGTAATTCTGCGGGAGGAAGACGCTGGGGTGGTGCCCGCCCTGCAGCGCGTTGCTGAGGCGCTCGGGCAGCGCCACGACGGCTCCCAGCAGGCCGGCCCCCGGCTCCGCCTCGCCCCGCTGCCGGCACAGCTCGCCCAGCACGGCCGGGAGCCGGCCCCGCACCAGGCTCTCCAGCTCCTCCAGCAGCGCCCGCAGCCCGGCGCCGGCCCTGAGGGGAGAAAGCGGAGACGGTAACGGGACAGCGCCACACGGAGCCCCCCACCCACCCCCCCCAGAGCCGCACTGACCGTGGGGCCGCCCCCCGGGGCTCGCTGAGGGCCGCGAGCAGGGCGCTGAGCGCGAGCCCGGGCGGCGCCTCCTCGAAGCAGCCCCGCCAGGGCCCCGCCGGCTCCTCGGGTCCCGTCAGCGCGGCGGCCGCCAGGCAGCGCAGCACGGCCCCGAGCCGCTCCCGCTCGCGCGGCCCCAGGGCGGCCTCGCCCCCCCCCGCCGCCGCCAGCGCGTCCCGCAGCGCTCCCAGCGCCGCCGCCCCGGGTGCGGGCCCCCCCAGGGCCTCCCGCAGGGCGCTCTCCACAGCCGCCGTCGCCATGGCGGCGCCCAGCGCCCCGCTTCCGGCCGCCACTCGGCGGCAGCCAATGGCGGCGCCGGGCCGCGTGACGTCACACGCACAACACGCGCCGGTCTTAAAGGCGCAGCGCCCCCCTCCCCCAAAACACCCCCCCCCCAACCCAAAGGGAGCGAGGCGGAGGCGGGCGGAGCTCGGAGCCCTGCGGCTTTATTGGGCGCGTCCCGCCCCGCTACAAACGCTACAAACCGTACAAAACAACGACAGAAACAGGAACGGAACAAACCAGCAACGTCATAGGAGCGACTGTACAAGAGGCGGCGAGTCCCGCGCCTCTCCGGGCAGCGGCGCAGCCCCCAGAGACTTGGAGGTGCCCCCGCTCCCCGGGGGCTGGATGGGAAACTCTCACCCCAAACCTCCAGGCAAGGCGGCAGGGATCCCTCAGGGCAGCAGCTCCAAACCTGCGCTAAGGGCTTCCAGCTTCTTTCCTGCAGCACCCACCTCACCAGGCTGCACCGTGTCCGCAGCGTTCCCCTGGCAGTGGCTTCGCAGGGGAGCTCGGTGCGCAGGAACTCGGCGCCTCAGCACCCGAGCAAAGCAACAGCTCGGTACTGAAGCCTCGGGCAGATTCGGTTATCTGCACTTTTCAGCTGCTCTGAAAATCCTAGTGATGAACGCCTCCCTGTCCTAACTCTATAGGGTTTCCAAAATAGCTCAAGATTTACATGCTCGTCTGTACAGCGTGCTAAGCGTTTGGAAATCATCAAGCAGCAGCCTGCTAAACTGGAGAAAGAGAAGCTACAACATCTTCCCACCCATTTAGCTGGGAGATGCTGTTTTTGTAGCCTTTAAAAAAATCAAAGCCTTTTGTTTGAAATAATTTCAATCAATGCCAAGAAACTAGAAGCCCCACAGCAGAGGCTATCTAATGGCCAGGAACTGGAAATTTCTCCTCTTAGATTGCTTTCACTGCCAGGATTCTCTCTCTCTTTCTCTCTCCCCCTCTACCCCCTCCTCACCCAGACCCATTATAAAAAAAGGTACAATATTTAGTTACATGGGATTTAAGTTAAAAAATAAAAAGCTGTCCAGTCTTTTTGCTTTATCGTGAAGAGTTTGAGCTGGAGCGGCTGCGGTGGCGCCTTCGTCCAGGAGATCTGGATCTTGATCGCCGGCGGACAGGGGATCTGCGCCTAGGAGATCGGGACCTGGCAGAGAAGGATGAAGAAAGCTTTAATTAGGAGACATGGACAACAGGTTCCAGTCAGTTTGTCAGCTCACCTACCACCTTTTCAAATCAATGCTCCCTGTCCCCCTCCAAAATAAATGAAAGAGCTCCAATGAAGTTCAGCCAGGGAGCAAAAAGGCAATTCAAAGAGGATTATTATAGCAGGGATGTTCTAGCTACTGTCCCTCTGCTTCTGAAGTTGAAAGACTTAATATCCAAAAAACAAACAAGATTCTTATTTACTCTCAAGCAAAACAAACTCAAGTTCATTCTGCATCAGATTCTCCTCCCTGTGAAAGGTCAGCTTCAGCTCCTGAAGTACAGTGAGGTTCAGGGAAAGGGTTTATCCAAGTCGCACAGAACCACAGGGCCATTTCTTAGGGGAATTCTCACTCTAAGAAACAGTTGAGCTTCAAGAACTTCAGTACTACAATTATCTATGCAGCCACCAGTGCGACACCAAGGTTCCTGCCAGAGAACATTAACAGAGCCTGACAGGATGGTAAGGCAGACTAGGGAAGCAAACAAACCATCCAATCCCTCATTTCCATGACCTCAGTAAAAAGTGTCTTTCATGGAGGACTAACGAGCAGTGAATCTTGTGCCACGTTCTCTTTTCAACCTGTATCTATCCACTCAGCAATCAACTGGTACCAATCAGGAATCGCTTTTACTGGTTACAAGAGTTTCAGCAGGCTTCCAAGACAGAGGAGCTCACCTAGATCCTGAGAAAGGGCTGCCTCAATGCACTCAGGTAAATCTTTCGGAGCCTGCAGCATACAACAGGTGTGTACGTGCCCGGTCCCACCCTGGGGTCAGTGTACTCCAGCTGCCTGATGCGGGAAGGCTGCTTTGTGGCCATGTTCTCACGCACAGGAATGAGGGAGAGAGGTGCAAGGACTTCCAAAAAGCCTCAAAGCACTGCGTGGAAGGGACTCCAGGGAGCAGGCTGGAAAGCATCTGATTCATCTGATGTTTCCAGCAGACTGCGTTCAGACGGCAGCAGGTCACTGCCAGCACTTCACAAGTACAGCCTGGGTTCAACTGATGCCCAAAAGGTGCGAGTTACCATCACTTGGAAGGGCAAGTCAAGTCCAATGGGATGAAACTGTCCTCACGCGGAGTATTTCAGCGATACGCTCTTGTTACACTGAGAAGGAAATACAAATTGTCACCTCTCACCTTCTCCTCATGCGAGGCGGTGACCTACGCCACATGGGTGGTGGTGGCAGCATCCTCCTGGGTGGGCTGAAGCGTCTGGGAGGGGGTCTAGGACGTGGCGCCAGCACAGCCGTGGCGGTGATCTCCTGCCCATCGATCTGGCCTGTGCATGAAATGACAGAAGCAGGGTGATGCAGGCGTTTTCCAGCACCAACATCTACAGACCACGTGGCTGCAACTCCCAGCTCTGTCACAAGCTTTGTCTACAGCTCTACTTCCACCACCCGCTCCAGACTGACGTTGATGAAGGCCACCTACACACTGGACTTCTAAATCAAATATCCCATCAGATGTTAATCTGGAAGGATTTTAGCAGAAATTTAAAGATTTTTATTGGGTTTTTATTTTGGAAAAAAAAAAAACAGTTTTAGTGTTTCTGTAGTTTTTATGGATCTGTCCTGAACTCACACAAAAGCCAAACTCATTCAAGCTGAAAACAGAATGAGAGTATTTCAGATCAGCTACCCAAAAGCTACGCCATCTCTCGCTCATTTTCAGACCAAGCCCACCTGTTACAAAGACTTTTTTTTTTTAAAAGCACCCAGCCTCCCTTCAACATTTGACACCTACCTCCATCCATGTGTTTCAGGGCTTTCTCAGCATCATCTGGGTTCTCAAACTCAACGTAAGCGTAACCTTTAGAGAGGTGTGGATTTAGCCTGTCAACTGGCATGTCAATCATTTTAATCTTTCCATAAGTGGAAAATATTTCCATGATGTGATCCTGCAGAGAAAGAGCAGAACTTCAGGACCACTCTTATGGCATGTGTCCCATACGCCTCTTACCACTCATATACCACCGCCCAGGTCTGGCTGGCACAGAGCAGTAAATTCAAGATATCCACAGCACTAAATTAGCTAAAAACCCTCTTGGGGACCTTATGAAAATGGGCTCGTGCCCTTAGTCAGAAACTCTTAGCTACAATTCTCAGTACTTTTTAAAAACACCATTTTTTCAGCTCCCTGAACTCTGAAGACCTTTAAACTACATTGCCAGAACATCTCTCTTCAGACCCTCTTCAAGAACCTCCAGATGTTCTTAATGCCTCCCAGGTCATTTCTGCTACTGTCCTGACTTTGACAGTTTTCTTCATAGTAAGGCAAAGTACCAGGTCTGGGATTCCAACAAAGCAGACAAACCTTTTAGCACTACAGTCTCAGAAGCCTGTACTCTATTTGACTCAGTGAGATTCTTATGAAGTCTTCCTCACTCATCAATTTGGACACAAAGCAAGAATTCCCAGAAGAGTTATTTTGGCAGCAGTCCAGCAACAACAACAACAAAATCGAAGGCTTTAAGAAAGCCACCAACAAATGCCCACAAAAGATATGTAAGCTTGGCATTCCAGGCGAGCATGCCATTACCTTGGTCACATTCCTAGTGAGCCTTCCAACGTGTACTTTTGTGGGTCTGGGTGATGGGCTGCGCCTCTTCCGCTCCTTTTCATCTCTCTTGGGTGGCTTGGACCTGATTTCACAACAGAAAATGTTTATAGTTTAGGGAAAAAGCAAGACAAAAACCAGAAGCCAATCCCTATCACGTGATTTTTAAAAGTACAATTTTTCTTGCGAGGGCAGAGTTTTTCCAAAGACATTACAGGTTAGGAAGTGTTGAGCTGGTGGTAGTGTTCTACTCAGAAACATCTCAAGACTTACATTTGCCTTGTCTGCTTTTACTTTAGAACCTTCTGAAATCTGAGACTCCCCTCTTCTCTAAGTTCTAGCCCTACCACAGCTAGGGAAATAAATTTGAAATTTATCAAACATTTCTTCAAAAGTTCTTGGCAGTAGTTACAGAATTTTGTAGTTGTTAAAACAAAAAACATCACTTAACACAACAATTAGAAAGGAAGAAAGCAAGCAAAAATGAATGGATCTAGTGATCTGTGCTTCTCTATCTTCTGTTCACTATGTAGGGCTGGAAATATCACATCCGAACTATTTAAATAGCTGCATGCTGCATTTTGCTTGCAGGTTTTTAAAATTACTATCCAGTTTAAAAAAAAAAAAATAAAAACTCCAGTAGGCAGAACATCTGTATTTAGGCTTCTTCTAAATCTTACTGTCATAAATTAGGGACACACTAAAAAAGCAAACTGGATTATAACACCTCAGTAGATTTTATCAGTCTTCCACACCTTATTTACAGAATTATTCAAAGGAAGAAAACCTGTATGGGTATTAAGATAGTTTGATTGCCACCCTTACAAAAATGCTTCCTTTGGTCCCCACCCGTTTTATCTTTACACATAAGAGAAGATACACACACACCAGCCTACCCACCATTATCAGCCCTGGCTTTTCTGTTGCTCTTGGCTATTATTTACAGGGAATATATAAAGACCTCTATTGTCATCTGGTGCCCTTATACTCCCATTCTAATGGGGAAACATTGATTAACACTGCCTCTAGAAAATATAGTATGTAGCAATTACCCTTAAAAATGAGATTTTTAATCTCTGCAGGGCATACATTTTGATTGTAAGTAAAAGGAGCACACCCATTCTAACAAAATCCAGATCTCTAACTTATAAAAAAAGAAAAAAAAAGGAAAACTGTCCTCAGGGAAAACAAAACAAAACAAAAAAACTATTCTGATAAAACCCTTGTATTCTACATGCAACTCAGCCTGCTATCTGGTAATTCCTAAAAGTCAAACAGAACTGACTTGGAACGGGAACGTCTCCTGTTGTCGTGTCTCCGTCGAGATGGGCTGGGGGATCCAGAAGAGCTGCTGGAACTGGAACTGCGCGAGGTGCTGGAGCTCCCAGAGCGACTCGAGGCAGAAGAGGAGCTTGAGCCACTGCTAGAACCAGTGCTGGAACTGGACCCTGAGCTGGAAGTTGAGCTGGAACGGGACCTGACAGGGGAAAAAAAAACATGAGCGGTGTACCCAGAAAAAGAATAGCTGAAAAATTTATCATAATTACAAAGAAAACAACTGCAAGCTGAAACACTAAAAATCGACTCTCCATAGCTCACTAGTTCAGCCAAATGAAATTTGTATCTCACAGAACCCAAAACCCTTCAAGTCAGACACAATTTTACTGTGACTAACACAAGGCAATGTTTGAATGAGTCCACAACGTGGGGAATGAAATGAACCAGACGTATTGCTGATGGTTTCTGAAAACGTTGTTTTTGTTACTCTCTGTAGCAGTAGCTACCTGGTACTGCTGCTCCCGCTGGAAGCACTACGTCTTTTGCGTGTCTTGTCCCGACCACGATCCTTTTCACCCGATTCCTTCGTGGCTCCTTTGTCCTTTGATCGGTCCTTTGATTTCTCTTCAGACCTATCCTTGCGTTTGGTTGGTGAGGGAGCCCTTAAAGAACAAATTGCAGAAGGGATTGTTTGATACAGAAAGCCACAGAAGAACGGAAAACCGCACCCAGACAAGGAACTGAAAGGCAACACGAAACATTGAACTTCAAACATAACTCAAGATCACCGTAACTGCAGAGCTGAAGTGTTAGGTAAGTCTGGGCTTTTTAGAAAAGAAAATATTTTACATGACAGAGCAGCAGCTTTGAAGGTGACAACTACAGCATCCATAAATTGTCACATACAGATTCACATAGAAAGAGGAGCATTTCCAATTCCTTCACCCTCCCTGGGAGGGCCCTAGTACCCTACAACATCCCCGGTTTCATTAAGCCTAAAAACTGGGATGGAATGATCACCTAGTGTTGGATTTTTTATTACTTTCATTGAGTGCTAGCAAACTCTTCTTTTTCACTCCTGATAAATCCATTTCCCCTTCAGAGGAATCCAAATCAGCACCCAATGGGCCTCACTTATCTCAAATCTCACTTCTAACTCCTTGGTTCTGAGAACTGGTCCCTAATTGAGTGCAATAAACTCCGAAGAGTAGCCCAGTGACAAGATAAAAGTGCTTAGAAAGAAGAAGTTAACAGATAGGCATGAAAGAGCACAGCTGCTTTGCAGCAGTGGCAGCAGACTGGAGGACAACCAACTTCTGCAGGGTCCCTGAGCAGCACACACCGCTGTGCTGCCTGCTCACAGCCCACCCTGTGCCTGCTCGCACTGGCACCTCAAGTACAAAGGGCCCTCACTCTCCAACCCTCCCCAGAAAAGGCAGGTGGAGGACACCCAGCTCCTCTGCAGGACGTACATGCAGCTCGTGCCTCCTGACAGCCTCACCTCCAGAAGGAGCAAGCTTTGGTTTCCTCCACAGCCAATTTGTGGCCCAGAGCATACGTTGGTCAAGAAGCGTTGCTGAGAACTTCAGCAACAAAAAACCCACACTCAATTACGGCTGCTTTCAACCCTAACAAGCTCCTCCCAAAGCTCTTTCAGCCTTAGAAAGACCAGATTAAGATTGCTTAACATCCGAATTAAAAGCTTCCTCTACATAAATTTTAATAACTGCTAAAACACGTGGCAGATTTGAGTTGGTGTGACGCCAATTACCTACCCACAAATGAAACATTTGGGAAATGAAGAACGGGCACGAGCCCCCCTGAAGTGCCAGCGTTACGAGCAGTGACACAACTGCCACTGTGCTGCGTGGTGTTGGAAACACTTCCTCCCTCCATGTGCAAAGGCCAAGTTAGCTAACAAGAGGAAAACTCTCAAGCTTGTTGCATGGAATGGTCTCATTGCTTCTGTGCTTCTGGTGTCCCAACTCCAATAATCAACTGCTTTGTTCTCTGAATTCTAATTCAATATATGATTGGGAAGAGATCACTTCTGAACAGCTGAACTTGGCTCTCCTTATTTTCCATTTCAGGGTTTTCCCTGACACAGCCACCACAACAAGCAACACAAGCGAGTGTTTGCACACTTTGCCCACCACAGCTTCCAGAAGCCAAGGAACACCTTGTTCCTGTGCGCCTTTCTGCACAGAGAACAGAAAGCAGCAGCACAAACGTGACACCAGCCGGCCTTCCCTACCACCTGCAGCAGCAAGAAGGCAGCCCAGGGACTGCTCCAGGGCTGCTAAAGGTGGTCGAGAAAAGCAAACCTGTGCCTGCCATTAAGCTGTAGGATGTTTTTAACCAGCTCCGTGCTTTCCCTGCTCAGAAATAGAAGACCACTGGGACAGACCAGCTGACCCACTGGGAAGAACAGAACGGACAAGCTCCTGGACACACAAAACAGGACATTTTCCTTCCTCACCTCCCTTCTAAACAACCACTCGGGTTTATATCACTTCCTCCTACACACCAACTACTCCTGCAACCGTGGTTGTGCTGCCAGCAGCTCAGCTGTGCGGAGCTATCAGCCCCTGAACTGTTAGCTCAGCTCTGGCCCTACTGGTGCACGGCAGGGAGGGAGCGCAGCTGAAGGCCAACACAGCCAGCGCTGACACCCAGCAGCTGCGGGAGCACCCGGAGCTGGAAGCCTCACCAGGACGCAGAGCCTGGGGGCGCTTCAACACCACCCCGGTGCGGCGAGGCCCAGCCGCGGCCTTCCCGCGAGGCCGCGCACAAAGCGCCCAGCCCGCAACGGGCCGGAGCCCGGCAGCCCCGCCACAGGCACAGGCCCAGGCCCAGGCCCAGGCCCAGGCCCAGGCCCCTCCCCGGCCCGGCCTCCCGCCTCCCGCCCGCCCCCCGCGCTAGGCCGCGGCGCCTCAGCGCCCCCCCCCCGCCCGCCATCCGCCCGCCATCCGCCCCCCATCCCCTCCGCCGCGCCCCCCTCCGCCTCCCCGGGTGGCTGCGAGCCCGCTGGGAGCGGCGGCCGGGCCGGATGGCCGCGGATGGGGCCCCCCCCGGCCAGGCCCCACTCACATCCTCGGCAGCCGCCGCCGCTCCGGGCCGCGTCGCGCGGGATGGGCGCAGCGCGGGCGGGAACGGGGCCGCGGGGCGCGGGGCGATGGCGTCACGGGAGGGGGGGGGGGGGGGGGGGGGGGGGAAGGGAGGGAGGGGCCGAGAGGCTTAAAGGGGCAGAGCGGGAGGGGGGGGGGAGCGGGGGGGGGAGAGGGGGGGAGGAAAGGAAAAATAAAAATTAAATTAAAAAAACTCGTGGAGATGAGGGTGGTTAGAGGGAAGAGGGAAAAATAAGAAAAAAAATGTAAAAAAAAAAACCATAAAATTAAAAAAATAAAATTAAAAATAAAATAAAATAAAATATTTTTGTTGTTTCTGTGTTTTTATTTGTTATTTTTTTTTAAACGGGCAGTGCGGGAGCGCAGAGCAGCAGTCGCGCTCCGCCGCCCACCGAGCAGCGGCGCTCAGCCCCCTGCCGGGACGCTGCCTACCGGGGGGGGACCGGGAGGGGACCAGGAGGGGACCGGGGGGGGACCGGGAGGGGCTGCCCGGCCCGGCACGGCCCCCCCCGGCCCGGCCCCGGCTCCCCGAAAGGGTTACGGGCGGGCTCCTCCCTCGCAGCCCGGGCGGGGGCCCCGCGAGTCCCCCCCCGGCTCCGGGAGGCCGCGGCTGCCGCCCCTCAGCCCCCGAGGTGCGGGCGCGGGGCCGGGGGGCCGGGGGCTGCCCTGGGCGTGGGGCGGGCGGAGGGGTCGGGGGGGGGGTTGTATTTTCCAGCAGACTGCCAAGTGCTTGAGCCCCTGCTGGCTCTGAGCCTGCCCTGATTCTTCCCAGCGTGAATCGTGGCAGCCGCTGGGCTTGCGTCTCCCCAGGGCTGAAACCTCGGGGTCCAAAAGTGACCCCTCTGCTGGGGGTGCCCCCGGGCTGGGCCAGGAGGAGACGAGGAGAAGCCTGCACCTTGCCCCCGGGGCCACGGTCAGGTGGTGGGAGCTGTGGTTCACCCGCACTCACACCCTTCTTCCTCCCCAGGTCTTGCATTCGCTCAGCCGTGACGTGGTGCCTTCGTTCCCCTTCTCCCGTGGGGTTTTTGCGTTTGGCACCTAATGCGTTCGGGGCGGAGAGCAGGAGAGCTGAAGGAGTAAGCACGGTGAGGAGGGGGGCTCTGGTCCTCTGGTTGCTGTGAGTGTTGCTGTGTGCGGTTACGGAGGAGCGTTCCCAGCAGATTTCCTGGTTAAAGGAGCTTTCTGGTTATGGCTAATGCCAGCTTCAGGCACTGCGAGTGTTCAGCAGCAGCTGAGGAAAGGGTGGCCAGGGTGAAATTTGGCCAGATGCCTAAACTGGCAGGCTGAAGCCAGGTCCCTTCAGCAGGCCTGGCTGTCCAACAGCAAACGCAGCTTTGGGCAAAGATGTCCTGGGAGTGGTGAAGTCCTCGGGTGGGTGGGGGCAAGTGCGGGTCCCAGCTGGGGGCTGCGGTGCTGCCTGTGTGTGGAGATGCTCGTTTGGGAAATAACCAAGGGTCAGGCCCTGGTGAGATTGCTCCAGGGAGTTCCTGTAGGGGATGGGACATTTCTGTTTTCCTGATAGCCACTGAAATGAAAAGATGGAAAAGGCACCTGGAACTGGGGTAGGAGTGGTGGTGTGGGAGCACAGCTCGGGTGATTGCGCTGCCATGAAGCACTGCTGCTCTGCCTGCCCCTGCCCCTGCCAAGCCTCTGCTTGAACTGGCTTCTCCTGTGCAACTTAGGGACCTTCAGAGGACCCTGGGCTGGCCCTGAGAATTAAAGCAAGGTCCATTGCCAGTGCAAAACCACAGCTCTGGTAAACTCCTTGAAGGCTTCCTGGGTCTTTCCCTTGCATTTTTCCTCCCCCCTGCTCCTCCTTCCCACCCGTTACTGGAAAGTAACAAACATTTGGCATGCCAGGGGAGTGTAAAGGTCTCTGTGCTGTGCTGTGCAAGCTGCCTGCGTGACACAGGATCCAGCTCCTGCAGCAAATCCCCTCTGCAGAGTGGGGATCAGACGATGGGCTCATCTGTGGAATGGGAAGAACATTTAGTGCAGGAAAACTCCATGTTCAGAGGGGACCTAAGCAAATGAAGGCTTAGCTAGAGGTGGAGCCAGGCCCGAGCTGTCGGAGAGACCGAGCCACATGCGGAGCTCTTATCTATGAGGTCCCTCTCACATCCCTAGTGGGGTGTGGGGTGGCCTTTAAATACAAATAGTTTGGGATCAAAGTGCAGTCTGTGTCTCCTGGTTAATGCCTCTCTCTTTTGCCATGGAGGAAGTAAAATGCAAAGGGGCACAACTGCTGCATCGAAACAAGCAGCTCCTTTTCTTTCTCCCCGTGCCTTTCCGTGAGTGATCTGCAAGAGTCTCTGCCATTTGGGCTGGCAAAACACGGTGTCTTTCTTTGAGACCAATGTGTACCGAGGGAAGCAAGGTTTGGAAAAGATTTCTGGCTCTCATCTGCTTGACAGTGACTGCTTGATGTGGTCCCTGTCAGACACTGCTGATCTGGAGAGCATTGTGCTGTCCTGTGGGAATTCTTGGGAGCTGTTTGTTTTGGGGAAGTGAACCCCCAAAGTGTGTCTGTGAGGCAGCGGATGCAGCACTGATTTTTCCAATGAATGCCTGCAGAGTTAGGAAGCTGAAAGGAAATGGAAAACCCGTCCACTGTGACAGTGGGCACACACACGCAGCTGTGATGTGCTTCAGGACTTACAGGTTTACCCCACGTAGGTGTGATTTTGGGGGCTGTACCTGCAGTGCAGTCCCAACTACACCCACCCACGTACACGCAGCACGTGGCCATGTCCCCCCCGCTGTTCCCTCACCCAGTTGTGCACATCAGGGAGGGGATGTGCACTCATACACGCGTACCTGGACCTTCTTTACAATGGTGCATAAACGTTTGCTTTCACTTCTTTCAAAGGTACAGGACAGCGGCACCTACAGACCTGATTTCTGAGGCACTGACGGTTTCCACGCCACAAGCGTCAGCGCCCTGGATCCTGCTCGCCACAACTTCCCCAGCCACCAAGCAGGAGCGAGGCTCCAGTGGGGACCTGCCAGCCTCGTACCGTGACCTGCTGCTGGCCTGCGCTTGCACCCAGCTCCCCACAGAGCTGAGCTGCTTCTGGGGATGCCAGCTGGGAACTGGGACACGTCCACAGCACAGCTGTGCACCCACGAGCTGCTGAGGCCCAGGCACAGTGGACTTGCCACCACTAGGAGGTTGCAGCACTGCACAAGTGAGTGGCTGGGGAGCAGCCTCTGCGTGGCACCGCAACAGGAGCTGCCCAGGCAGCTGTGGCTTCACCTGCCGTGAGGGGGTCCAGTTGTCCCAGCCAGCTGCTTGTCCCAGCGCCGCGTGGTCCTCTGAGGGGTCTGTAACAACAGAGACTGGTAGTGGGCCCAGAAATGGCTTTCTGAGTGGATTTGGAGTTCCCCTTCTCTTTGTTCCTCTGCCTTGTCCTCCAGCAACGCGGCTCGTCTCTGTCAGAAGGGACGCGTGCCTTCCTGAACCTGCTCTGGTCCTGCTCTCTGCCCTGCCCCTCGCTGATGCATTGATGATATTGGGTGAAGCTGAGCCCGGCATCATCCTCTGTGCCCTCGTGGGACTGGGGTGTCAGGTTGGACCCTCTGCTCTGAGGGGTCCCACGTGAGCAAGGGACAGGCTGCTGGGCCAGCCCTGGTCACCCCCAGGCAGAAGAGCCATCTCCTTCCTGCTCTTTGGCTGGGACCTGCATCGCTGCTTGTGGCTGGGGCTGGCACAGCGTGGCCCCAGGGCCACCAGCCTGGCAGCAGAGTGCTAGCAGAGCCCGAGCAGTGGATGCAGTGCCCCCGTGTCCCCCCCCATCAACTCCACTTCGTGCCGTGGGGCTGAGAGGTGCCACTGGCTGGCCAGGACGGCGGGGATGTAGGCACCGGCAGCGATGGGCCGCTTGGATGACCACGCCAAGAGAAGGATCGTGGAGCTGCGCAGGGCTGGGCTGAGTTTCCGCAAAATCAAGAAGGTGCTGGAGCTGGACAATATCCGAGTGACGCCACAGGCCGTGTATCTCTTCCTCAAGAGGAAGAGTTTGGAGCTGGGGCCAGCAGCAGGTGGCTGGGGTGGAGAGCAGCCCTGGTTCCCCCTGCAGGGGCACGAGGCTGAGCTTCCCCAGTCTCCAGGCCCTCGGCCCCCCACATTGCCCAGCGGGGCTCCTGCTGGTGGCCAGGATGGCAAGGAGGGCACCCAGATCGTCAGCGTGGCCTCGTCCTGCCAGGGCAGCAGGCAGCCGGGGGGGGCCCTGCCTGTGGGACTGCCTCTTGGGAAGGGTAAGGCTGGGCCCCGTCCAGGCCTGCCCTGGCGCAGGCTCCCTGTTCTCCCCCAGAAGGTTTGGGGACAGAGTCTCCTTTCGAGGCATTTTTCTTCTGTCCCTCGCAGGTGACAGCGGTTCCACAGGTGCCCTCCCAGCTCCAGGGAGCTGCCAAACACCAGGGACCCCACCTGCCCCCACACAGCCGCTGCCTGGCCAAGGGCAGCTCGTCATGCCCCCTGCCAAGAACCCAGCCCTGGTGGCAAAGAAGATCGTGGACAGGGCTCTCCTCCTGCAGAACAAGGTAGGGTGCTGGGTGGCACATCAGGGGTGGGAGGGCCCATCTGCTTCAGGCCCAGATCTTGCATGGGCAGGGTCTGTCCTGCCCCTCACGGTGCACATGTGGCTCCCACGGGCAGAGCAGCTTTCCTGGTGGCTGTGGCAAGCTGCAGGGATCTCAAGACACTGGCACCAGGTATCCTGGGTACAAAGCACAGCCCTGAGTCAGGCTGAGCCTTTGCATCTTTCCATCTCCCTGTTGTGTCCCTCCCTGCTGCATCTTCTACTTGCAGCCCTCACCTTTCCATATCTGCTCTGGTGCAGCAAATGCGACTGGTCTACAAGCTGGGAGGGGACACCCCAGGTACACTGCTTCCATCCCGGCAGAGCAAACCTGCCTGGCATGAGCATGGGCAGCCCAGTTGGCAGCAGGTAGCACAATGCATGTGCCCACTGAGCAGAGGCACAGAGATGGGGCAGGGAGGAAGAGCAGGTCAGAGAACACTGCAGTCCAAAGGTTGTTCCCTTCTGCCTTGCACATGAAGCACAGAATAAATCCTTCTCCTGCTTATCCCCACTGAAGGAGCAGTTAATGATCTTTCACCTCCACTCCTCTCCTGCCTCCTGCTATTCTAGGTCAAAGATGCCAGCACACAGACCACCCCACTGAACCCCACAAGCCCTGGAAATCAACACCTTGCTTGGGGCGAAGCAGTGCTTCCCCCTGCTCCTGGTTCCCCCACCACTGCCGAGAAGCTGGACGCTGTACACGCAGAGATCCAGAAGCTGAGCCAGGCACTGCACGCGGTGCTGGAGAGGCAGTGCCGCCTGGAGCGCCAGCAGGAGCACCAGCAGCGACTCCAGCAGGAGATGCTGCTGATGCTGCAGCAGCTGAGCTCCACCGTGAGCCACGGCGCCGTGCCAGCCAACCAGCCCTGCGTCCCCTTCAGCAGCGTGGCTGAGCCCTCGCCCACCGTGCCAAACTTCAGCCAGTTCAAGATGGAGCTCATCTGACCCCAAGGTGCTCTATCGGGGCTGCCCCATCCGCAGGGCAGGCCAGCACTGCCAGAGGATGAGGTCCTGAAGCCTTCAGAGGCTGTGGCAGCTGCCTGAGGGCCACGTGGGGTGTCCGGCAGAGGTGATTGCTGCTTCCCTACTGCTCTGCCTCAGCCTTGTTGACTGAAAGGGGTTGCTGGGCACAAGAAGGGAGGGGAAGCTTGCTTCTCCCGTGCTGCCCATCCTGGCAGGTCCTGGAGCTGACCAGTCCATCCACGGACTGTAGCAGCTCGTGTGAGCTGCAAGGAGAAGATGCAGCTGGGAGGAACACAGCAGGGTGGTGTTCTCGAGGCGAGGCTTCCTCTCAGGAGGGTCAGTGTTGTGACAATCATAGGAATGCCCCCTGCAGGGTCTTGTTCAGTAAAAGGCTATGGTTGAGAAACATAGTGGAGAAAGCGTGGGATCTTATTCTTCATTTTATCTCCCCCTCACCCTGTTAGCAGCTGGGCTGGACCTGGCTTGGGCACAGCCAGCAGAGCACCATGAGGCGGGCCCACCTCTCCACACACCAGGGACATCGCCAGGGGCCTGGCATCAGCTACCACACCGGTAGGGATAAATCACACTTGTGTAGGAAGTTGACTCTTTAAACTGAGCAGCTTCTACCCAGGTCAGCCCCTCACCCCCCAGAATCTCAGCGTGTCTGGAGTCTGTCACTGCCCCCGGCTTCTGCCCACTGCTCTTGTGGGTGCGGGTTCTGTATGGGAGCTGTGTACTCCCCTCTCCTCTGACCCTTTTTTCTGTGAGTGAGAAGGATGAACTCTTGGCTTTGGTCCCCCAGCAGCAAGGGCTCTCCTACAGCAGGCTGCTGGCAGTGCAGAGCTGCAGGGAGTAGAGAGGTTTTAGAGGCACAATGCTGAGAACAACCCTTGTCTGGGTGACAGGGCCTTAAGGGAGGCTGCAGGACTTGGGCTGCCTCAGGGGTGTGTGTCAGCCAAGGAGACTTCCTTCTTTCTGGTTACACCACAGTCAGCACACAGTCGTTCACCAGCCTGTTTCTCCAAACTCATCCAAACTCTCTATATAGACACACGTACAGAAAGATGTGTGTGTCTGTGTATACACCCACGTATACGTACACAGCTCCTTGCAGCAGCTGTGGAGGAAGAGGGAGCAGAACAGCCGCTCTGCCGCCTGCATACACAAGTCCAGCCCTGGTGGTGGAGGTGGTTCTGCCACTGCAGCTGTGCCTGGGAGCCTTAGAAGTCTGCTGCCATCTCCCTGCAGTCGTTCATTTCAATGTTGGTGTAGTTTTGGGGATGTCTGAAAAGCAATAGACAAAGTAAAAGGCAAAATGAGTTGCTCTGCTCTTTTGCAGGAGGCAGGGAATGACAATCCCATCTCTCCTGTGTCCTGGTGCCAGGAACTCACCCAGTGATACTAAAGCTGCGTCTCAGCTTTGCTCTTAAAATAAAGAGGCTGGATGACCAGCCTTCAGCAGGCACAGAGTTTACTAAGGTGTCTTTTAGCATTTTGGGGAAAAACAGGGCAGAACACCTACCAGTCACCTGGCACATGTAGATCAACTTTAAACCACACTGTTTTCCGAGAGATTCCTTAAGCCTGACTTAAAGTATTTTTTACATTCCTTTATAAAATACACAGAGTTTTTTTCTATTCTCCAATGTGTTTCAAGAACTTTCCAAACTTCCAACACTTGCCCAGCAGCATCCTAGCCAACGATAACAGATCACAGAATATTCACCAAAATAAATTGCCTAAACTGGCTAAATAACACACCCACCAACACTGTTTTTGACCACTCAAGTGTTAAGCAGCTGTCTACCTGCTAATAACACCAGGGCCACCAAGTAATTGTTTAAAATGGTGCTGTGCTATACTATGGAAGCTGTTTCCAGGTTATGCTAAACCACCCGTAACTTCCCGGTCTGCTCAAAGGAGCAGCTCTTCCCCTCGCTGCCCCTCGTGCACAAGCCTTCAGCAATTTGCTCTCCCCCACAACATGTTGTAAGCGAGGCCGATGGGCTTTACATCATGCTCAGTGACACACCTGGTGTCACTTACAGCTTTATCAATTATTGCCTTAACCTTAATGACCATTTCTTACCTTTTGATGAAGTGCAATGCCAGGCCAACCAGCAAGAGCACGAGCAGCAGAGCTCCCACGACCAACAGGGCGATCTCCCAGCTGCGCAGAAAGGCTGAGGGTGTGAAGGCAGAGATGGGGCACTGCAGTCAGGACCCTGCCCAGCCAGCTCCAGCCCCGTCACGTCCCCCCTAGCCCCCCTGCAAACACTCCACAGTGCTCCTGCTCCAGCCTCAGCCAGCTTTGAGCAGCTGGCTTTAGGGCTTCTGCTCTGCGCCCAGCAGCACAGGGCTGCCCCGGTCTTGCCAGGGGATGTGGCAGCTGAACTTGCAGGGACATGGACATGGCAGGGTGGCTACCCCATTGCCCCTTGCACCAGGGGAAGCCAGCCATCGTTATGCTTCGTCTAACGACCCCTCAGCTTCACAAGACAGCTTTGTGTAAGCAGCAGCACCAGATGTCTGAGCCCAGCCTCAGCCCCGCTGGTGGCGCTGGATGGAGGTCCCCGCGCACAGCTCTGCTCCCGACTCACAACTGCTCTGTGATGACGCTGGTGTGCTTCTGGGGGCGATGCACTCAGGGCTGGTTTTCAGCACTCTTCCATCCACGGAGAAGGGGTGGGGGCTGGTCAGGAGGCCTCGGCGCCAGCTCTCAATGGACTGCTGCTGCGCCGGCAGCCGAGCACGCACCCGGCCCGAGACCTTCACCACGGAGTTGACACACGTCAGGTTCAGCCCTGTGGAGAAGCAGCAGCACACCTTGAGCAGGGGGGAGCCTTTCTGCTTCTGATGAGACCTCCTGGCCTCGGCGGGGCAGGGACACAACTCTCCCTGCCTGGCACCAGCAGCGTGGGCAAGGGGGGGGGCACTGCAAACCAGGCAGATGGAGCGGGGGCACTGACCTTGCAGGTAGAGCTCAGAGACGCCACAGGAGCACTCCTCCTCCAGGGAGCTCAACAAGACCCTTCTAAAGCTTTCCAGTGTCCTTCTGTGGTGCACGGTCCAGGCAGAGCAGTCTAAGGGACGAGGAGAAGTGGAGAAGCAATTGCCTGGATGCAGCTCAGGCCTGGTGATTGCCTCCCAACTGCGCTCCGCACACCGAAACTGCAAGCAAGGCTGCCTGCTTGGGATAGTGGTGTGCTTTCCATCGCATCAACGCACCAGGGAAGGGAGCAGGGTGCCCACCCTGGGGGATACGGGGGGTGCCCTGAGGGATAAGGGGGGCGGAGGGGCACACAGCCCTGCTTACTGGGTGTCAGGAAGCACAAGTCCAGAGCCCACGGCAAAGGCATCCTGCGGACAGCTGTTCTGCACACCAGGGGTAGGCTCTGAGATGGCAAACTGTAGCTCTGCGCTGGCATCACCGGAGGGGCAGCGACTCAGGGACACAGGCCTGTCCCCCAGAAGAGTAATGTGAGCTCAGCAGTGCCTCTCACACCTCTCTTCGAGGCTTCATCCACAAATCCCACCCCATGCCCGACACTGCTGGAGATGACGAACAGTTTGCTGGAGCTGACATCAGCCTTTGCAGAGCTGTCACAGAGACAGGTCCAGCTGACCCCGTCAGACCTGAGCTTGGCCACAGCAAACCCATTTGATGTGACTGGTTTCTGGTGAAGGTATTTCAGTGCGTGCTTAAGCTAGCCAGAAGCTGGAGATCTCTGTTTCCTGGGAAAATAGGACCCATACGGTTGTGGCTCTGTGCACACGTGCTCACGGGGGCAGGCTGCAAACTTAGAGCCTCCATCAATGAGGTAGGACAGCAAGGCAGAGGACATGAGGATGACAGATTTAGCTAAAAGAGGTGACCTTGTGGACAGGAGAAACTCTGCTGGCACTCCCACCAAGAGAAACGCTCAACCCCATTTGTTGTTAAGCAAATGCCACATTGGAGTGTAAAGAGATGCCAGGTTTTGTTTTGTTCTGCTCACTGGGATTTAAAAATAAATAAATAAATCAAAGGAAAAGTTTGTCAAAGAAGTGTATACACTTGCTATTTGTAAAGGCTGCACTCCTTCATGCAATGCCATTTACATCCCTTGGGAGAAGCAAGTTAAATGAGCAGTGGAATAACAAAGTTCAATTCCCCATACCAAAGGAGAGGAAACATTTTCCATTGTGATGTGCTCCCCACCTCTCTGTTTTCCCTCACAAGGCTGGTGAATACACGCAGCCACACGGGACACAGGACAAGGCAGCAAGCTCAGTGATGTGCCAACCGAGGCTCTGGGCACCAAGAACCCGGAGATGTTTTCCAGAGAAGTGGCCTCACCTGTCATCCTTGCAGGGCACAGTGTACAATGGGCCGAGGACATCCAAGCGGCCTCCCACCATGCTTGGCCCACATGTATACACCAGGGCATCCACCAGGTTCTCTGACGTTGCCTTCATGCCACTAGGAATCACGCTGGTGCTGTACAGAGCTATAGCGCTGGAGCCTTCGGTAGCAGCAATGTCCTCAAACATCAGTTTTGTCCCGTCTGGAAATGCCAGGAGAATACACAGGGTGAACATCTAGAGATAGGCTGGAGAGAGCTCCAACGATAGAAATGTGAGACAAAATAGTGATGGTGAGTGGGGCAAAGCACAGCTGAGAGAAGGGCCTGCCTGCTGCAAAGGCCTATTTCTGAAAAGCCCAAGGTTCCTCTGAGACGTACAGCTCTCTGCATGCAGGCCAGCCAGAGTTTAAGGTGAACAAAACACACACAGACAAAACCAAACAAACAATACCACCACCAACAAAAAACAAGACAGGCAGATGTGCCAAGGCAATGCTGTGGCAGGGCCAGTGGGAGATAGCAGCAGCGGAGGGTGCAGGCTCAACCAGCCCCAGTGGCCCTGCATCCCCCAAGGCCCCCAGTCCCAGCACCCAGCCCTCCCACCTTCCCCGCTTGGCAGAGCCCCAGTGGAAGAACAAACACTGAAAAACACATAACAGAATGGCTGAGGGAGAAAAGACAGAAGTAACAGACCCATCAGAGGATGAGTGGAGATTTCCCCCCAGCCCCGTCTCACCGTTCCTGCCGCCCAGCAGCAGCAGGCCTGAGGCGCTGAGGTTGCCGCCCAGCGGGACGCTGCCATGAGCGGCACCCTCCTGGCTGGTGAAGATGACCAGGCTGAGGCCATCTAGGCTGGTCCCTGGCGGCCCCTGCAGCTCCACAAAGCCACCGGCCCCTGCTGCCATGCCAGCCCCAGCTCGCTGATGCGGACAGCAGGCAGCGATGGCACGTGGGGGCTGCCAGCAGGAGTTTTCCCCGAGCGGTGTCATTGCTGTCACCTATGGGGAGACACAAAGCTGCTGCCATGGCCACTGATCCCACTGCTCTGGGGGGAAGGCCCACTGCTCACATCCCTACTGCCTGTACATATCCCCCACAGGGGTAAGGCCCGACAGGGACATGGCGGTTCTGCCTCCCCCCAGCTGCTCCGGGGTCCCATCCCTGCCAGCACCATGTGGGGTCCGCTCACACTGCAAACATCCCTTTGAACATGACCACAGAGCCCACTCAGCACCTCCCTGCTGCCAGCAGACCTCTTCTGCTTCTTTCATTGCCTTGTTTTTTGACCCGAGCATTCTGTGCCGGCCTGATCCCAGAGGACATCAGCAGGGGAACAGGAGAAGTGTACATACTCTGCCAGCATTCCCTCAGGGGAGCTATCTAAAGCTAAACACTTAAAAACAGGAAGAACAGTCGGGACAAATTAACACAAATTAATCACAGCAGTGGTTGAGGCAGGTCCTTCACACGCTGGCCCACGGGAAGCGGAGTTTCAGGGATGTGAAGTGCTGTGCTACCGTGTCACCAGAACGCCTCGCTTTCCCGAATCAAGGCCATACCGAAACACAACCAGTTCTTTCCCAGTGGCTATAGCTGGAGTACAGACACCTGCCACCAACCCACCTGGAAGCTGCTCTGGAGTCTTGCACTCAGACCGTGGCAGCGGCTCAGGGACTCATCCTCAGTGCTGTGAGAATCATTTTCGTAAAGGATGCTCTGCCCCGGTACCAGCACTTCGAGCAGCTTCTCTGCCTTCTCATCCGCTCGGGACGTGTACACCACAGCATCCACCAGCCCCTCAGCGGTCACAGCCATGTTCACCGTGTAGAGGGTGCTGTTGCTGTAGTAAAGAGCCACAGCGTCGGCCCCGTTCTGGATGGTGTTGGGGGGCAGCCTGACCATGGGTGCTGGGTGCACGGTGCTGCTCCCAACCAGGAAATAACCCAGCTCGTCCGTGTGGTGTCCGGAGAGGTCCAGCACCCGGTAGGCCCGGCTGTTTCTGCCATTGTAGAGGACCAGCCAGTATCTCTGGAGGTCAAAGTGAGTCCGTCCAGTGTAGAAGAGCTCGATGTACTCTGCGTCCTCTCCTCCCCCCGGGTTGTCTGGGTTCACCTCGTTGATGAGCAGCTCACCCACTTGCCTAGAGGGCTCTCGAGTCCCCTCTGGAACCTGTGATGGGACACCTTCGAAAGCAGAAATGTCATGAACGTGGGCCAGGCACAGCACCCTGGGCAAAGAACAGCTTTGCACAGTTTTGCTGGGGTGTGACCAAATTCAGCAGAAGACTGGGGGTGCCAGCCCAGCACCCCAACACACACATTCCTCCTCTTGCAACAATGCGCAGAGATCCCCATGGGCCTCTGCAGCACCCACAGGGAGCCGGGCTGTGCCATGCCTTCCGTGAGCCCCATGACTGCTGGCAATGGGAGCTGCCCCTCACACGCAGCCCCAGCCTGTAGAGGTGTCCCTGCACCCAGAGGAAACACGGGAGAGTAAAGAAACTCCCTCTATGGCTCCTCACAGCTTGTCTGTATACAGACACCAGTAAAATAAAGGAGCTGAATATCTTTTTGACCATAACCCCACTTTTTAGTTTATTTTTTTTTAAATCTGTGTGCTCCAGACCCCTTACAAATGTCCTGGCAATACTCTGCCTAATAGCTCTAACAACAGTTTGCTTTTATTCCAGATCATAGAATCCCAGAATGGCCAGGGTCAGAAGGGACCTTAAAGATCATCTAACTCCAACCCCCTGCCATGCCAGGGATGCCACCCACTAGATCAGGTTGGCCAAGGCCCCATCCAGCCTGGCCTCAAACACCTCCAGGGATGGGGCATCCACAGCTGCTCTTGGCAACCTCTTGCAGTGCCTCACTACCCTTACAGTGGAGAATTTCCTCTTAATGTTTAGACTAAATCTGTCCTCTTTTAGTTTAAGAGCATTCCCCCTTGTCCTATCATTATCTACCCAATTAAAGAGTCCTTCTCCGTCCTTTATATAAGCCCCCTTTAAGTACTGGAAGGCTGCAGTGATGTCTCCCTGGCGCCTTCTCTTCTCCAGGCTGCACAGCCCCAGCTCTCTCAGCCTGTCCCCACAGGAGAGGTGCTCCAGCCTTCTGATCATCTTTGTAGCCCTCCTCTGCACTCACTCTGACAGCCCCACATCCTTCTTGTGCTGGGGGCCCCAGACCTGGATGCAGAACCCCAAGTGGGGCCTCACAAGGGCAGAGCAGAGGGGCACAGTCCCCTCCCACCCCTGCTGCCCACCCCTCTGTTGATGCAGCCCAGGATGCAGTTCACTTTCTGGGCTGAAAGTCTTTGTCTTTGTCTGCCAGAATCCCTAAGTCTCTCTCCACAGGGCTGCTCTCAGTGAGTTCTTCTCCCAGTCTGTGCTCACCGCTGGGATAGCCCCCACCCAGGAGCAGCACCCTGCTCTTGGCCTTGTTGAACCTCATTAGGTTCACATGGGCCCACTTCTTCAGCCTGACCAGGTCCTTTTGAATGCCATCCCTTCCTTCTGGTGTACCAGCTGCACCACTCAGCTTGGTGTATTTGCAAACTCACTGAGGGTTCACTCAATACCCTCATCCACGCCATTTAATATGACAATGAGCAACACGTAGCAGCTGGATGAGACAGAAATGGAGGGGATCTTTGTCAGATAGGGAAACGCAGGGACGCAAACCTCCCTGCTGTGGGGAGCTAGATCCACACGCCCACCCTCAAACACGGTGTCCCTCAACATACATGAATGATGACCGGTACCTGGAGGTAAGTCTGGCACGTTAATATCCTTGAAGCAGGAGCTTTCTGCTGTGATATTCCTTCTGTCAAAACTCACAACCCTGGGGCTCTCCAGGAAGGTGTTGAAGGCTAGCAGCAGGCTGCTCAGCTGGTCTTCTGACTTTGCAGTGAGCAGGGTGGTGAACAGAAGCCCCAGGTCCTGACAGGCCACCTCTGAATCTGCAGAGGCAAGAAGAGAACAGCTTCAGTGCCATCACCCCTCTGAAAACGCACTTTCTCCTGGAAAGGACACAGAGCTCAGCAGCTCGTCTCCCTCCTGGTCAGACTGATGCAGGGGAAGGGTTTGGGTGTGCAGCTTGTGCTGTCAGTGCAACGCTGTGAGCCCTGCAGATCGTCTGCCCATGCCTTGGACCAGGTCACGCAGCCCACCCAGGTACATCCTCATCCTTTCAGAAGCCTTGCAGCCCCAACAGCAAATGGAACAATCACTTTGGGGCTTCTAAACATCTTGAGCTGAACATATTATCTCTGACAATGCATGCTATAAAGTCATGGCTCTTCTCTTCATGTATCTGCATGTGCTCATCACACTTGAGTACTAATCTAGCAGGGATGTCAGAAGAACAACACAGACCAGTAAGTCCGCTTGCATTTCTGCCAAAACTTGGTTTAATTCATATGGATCACAAAGCCAGCTAGGCAATAAACTCAGCTGAGACATCAGCCCTGTTGCCACATCTGTCTGACAGCAAGTGCTCAAGGACAAAATAACTGGTGGTCTGCAAATGAGCACTGATGTGAGCTGGCTGGCAGAGCTGCAGATGGGAGCGCACTGCAGAACAGCACAACTCTAAGTCTAACATGCAATGCTTTCATGATCAGCACCAAGTCTAGATTAGCTGAGATCCAAGCCAGGACGATGCAATTCAGTAGGGAACTGAGGGCTGAAAATCAGAAGTGGATGGGCATTAGCCCCTGGCAGACCCTGGGCTGCCCCACTCCTGACCACCTCACCTTTGAAGTAGGCAGGAGAAACTCCACAGCTGCAGGATCGGTCAAAGGCCTGGACGAGAGTTGTCAGGACTTCTTCTGACTTTGAGAGCCACTCCTGGCAATCTAGGAAACAAAAGGCCTACTGTTACCTAGCCACTCCAACTTCATTCACGGTTCTAGCTCATTCTGGGATGGTGCAACTCAGCTCCTGCTCATCACTCTGAGGGCCCAAACGGTTCCACTGCACCCAGAGCAGTTGTATACGAGAATGAAGACTGGGGAAATTCAGCCCAGATTACATGGCCACAAAGAACAATACTGCAGAGAAAAGTCAGATGTCCTGGTTGTATTTCCTTTGGTGTATCTGCACGTACCCCAGCACAACCCTAGGGGGATGTCCTGACAGCTCTGGCTTTGAGCACATGCTCTTGTCCTTAGGTGGTCCACCTAGAGGAGCAGAGGCATCTGATACCCACCTGCTACAAGAAGGCAGAAGGAGACCGTCTGGCTGAAGCGTTTGCTGGGGCAATCATTGAACTTGCCAGGGGTAGGCTGGCTGAGGACATAGGACAAGGAGTCCCGGGTCACAGAGCAGCAGTTGCACCGGCTCATGGACACATTTCCCAGCTGGTGCCTGAAAGAAACAGACCTGTATGTGAGAGAAATCACAACCTGGCAGCCAGAGACATGAGTGCTTTTCACCCTCCACTCACATCTGCCTGCACCATAGGGTGAAACCAGGCACTTAAAGTCTTCTTCCTTCACAGGGTCTGGAGAGACATCCCACCCTCATCAGTACCTCCTTATCTGAAAAAGGAGCCCAAGAGCTTGATGAAAAAGGAGTCCAAGAGCAAAAGCACAGACAAGAGCTTGCCCAAATGATTTTTATTACTGCTTGCTCCTACCCATGCAACTTCATGTGAGCGGCACCTCACTGCCTCTGCTCCTCAACCTGCTTCACTGCCCTTCACCCACTCTGTCCTCTCTTTCTCCAGTTAGCAGCATATGCCTCATATATAAAGGAAACAGTACTCGTGTCTCACAGAAGTCTGAGGTTACTAATGTTCCCTTTAACCTTCACTGGGGAAAAATCTATGCTCTTCAAAAAACAGAAAAAAAGAAAGTGGCTCAATTAAAATGAAGAGTAGCCCAGCCTCCAGCCTTGGTCTGGGTGAAGCAGAGCAGGGATTTCCACCTGGGCCAGGTGAGAATCATCACTACCAGAGATAACAAAGTCCCTCCCTCATCCTCATTTTGACCTGAAATTCCATCCTAAAGCTAAGGAAAACCTTTTCTTTTTGAAAGTGGTATTGGAAAATCTATGATATTAACCAGTAGAGTTTTATAAATAATAAATTAATAAAAAGATAAAATAATAAATTAATAAACAGTAATGATTTGGTCGTAGGATTTCTCCCCAGATACTTTATTCTGCAGTGCCAGGTCTGCTGAGGGGGACACCTCCCCACTTTGACCGGGCAGGACTTGGTAGGAGAGCAGGACTGGTCTGGAGGTGGCACTCATCTTCCAGTCCTTCCCTCTCCAGGGGCTGGGTGGGGATGCCTGGAACCTGCAGCCCCAGCTGGGACAGGACGAGACCCGAGATGCCACCAGCACTCACTGCACAAGGGCTCTTCTTGCAGAGCCATTTTGTCACAGAGCAGTCACGACCCACCTGGGGACGTACGCGCCCCCCACCCCCGACCTCCCCAAGGCAGCCTCGACCTCCTCACAGCTTGCGCTGCTCTGCAGAGGGCTGGGGACATGGGGCAAGGAGGACCCTAGCAGGAAGGACCACTGCACAACGAACCCTCCTCCCCACCCATCTCACCGTGTGCTCTCTAGGGCAGGTCTGCCCAGCGTCAGGGCCTCCAGCAGCTCGGGGCTCGCTCCCTCGCTGTTCGTGTACACGAAGGCATCCAGCAGGCCAGCCGCCGGCAGCACCTTCCCCAGGGCAAAGCTGCTGGTGTTGCCTCTGTAGAGGGCAACGGCGTTGGGGCCATCCCTGAGGACAGGGTGAGTAGAGTTCTCCGGGAACGGCAAGTCCACTGCACACCACCAAGGAAAGGAACAATGACACCATGTAAGCCGTAAGGGAGTGACACCCCATAAAGCAGATGTGAGGGATGATGCTCCATGAGCCACACACGAGCAATTCCTCTGGAGCAGGAAAACGGCATCACTTCAGCTGCAGTAACTTAGAAAATATCTGGGGTGGGCTGATCAGTGCAGGCTGGGCACCCATAGCCTCCTCTTCCTGCTCGCTAACATTTCCCACGTCCTTACAGCCTGAATTTCCCTGTTGGTGGCCAGATTCGTGGTCTGGAGGAGGAAATGTTAGCAGCTCCCATTCTGCTGCTCTGGCGCAGAACAGAAAAGCTGGTCCATGCATAAGAAGGGGAATGGGAAAACAAGTACAGACGTGACGTTGCTTACAGTAAAGTTGTTTTTTAATTCCTGAAAGACATCTGCAAAATGAACTAAGCATTAAGGTAGCAATTGCTCTGATAGTACAGAAAAATATTTTTAAAAAATTATAGCATTTCAGTAATTGTCCTTGTTTTGTTTTTACAAACACACACACTCACATATATATACACAAACTTATTCACAGCAAGGGTCCAGGATACCAGCAGACAGCATTGAAGCTGAAATTTGGAGGACTTTCCCCATTTCCTTCCTTGTACGTACTGTTCCCTATTTCCCCAGCTATTTCCCTAGCACACAGCGGGAGTTGCTGAGCACAGTGAGCAGCAGCATTTCTGCTCTTCTTGTCAGCACTGCTGACATTTCCATTTCCATGCTTCCCCCTGCACTGAGAGCTCAGGGCAGAGAGGCAAGGACAAGCGGTTGCTCCCCCATGCCCCTGTCTGAAAAAAAAAAAAAAAAGGCCAAAGTGCATCTCCAGCCTCCTTCCTGACCTGAGGAAGCCCCAAGGAACAGTCAAACGCCATCCCCAGAAATGTCCTGCTCAGCCTGCAGCTGGCTGTGCCCTTGCATCCCTTGGGGCCCCCCAAGCCTACCAGCTGCTGGCAGCCCCCAGGGAGAAGCAAAGCAGCTTTTCTGGTGGGCAGAGTAGAGCCCACACAGAGAACGGGCTCTTCTGGGATTATTTGGGGCTTAGCCCCCTGGTGTGAGACGTGATGGAGAGCTGCCACAGAGACAACAAACCTCAGTGCAGAGCACTTCAGCTGCCCCCATCGTCTGAGCTTTGCTCGACTTTGTTGAGCATCCTGCCTGCTGACTGCAGAACAGCAGTTCTGGGTACTTCATGAATTACAGATGGGAACCGGGTTTGTGAGCGATGAACACACAGCCTGACTCAGGAATCATGAGTCAGGGAATTGCACAAGACAGCTGCAGAGTCAGGGCCTCCAGCTGGCAACATCTTCCTCTGAAGTGCCCAAAATAATGAGACGTTTCCTCCTCCTCTGGTGGCCTGGAAGCTCTAGGAGGAAGCAGCAAGGGCAGCACAACCCAGACGGGTCTGGGCGCACTGAGAGAACGGCCCTCCTGCTTTTCTGGGGGGAGCCTGCGTCTGCTGGGAGCAGCCCCAAGCCACAGGTGGGGAAGGGGACGTGGCACAGCCAGGCTGGCCAGCAGCAGGATGGCGTCCCCTGGCACAAGCCAGGTCCCTCCTGGCACCTTCTGTCTGCGCTGGTGTAGCACAGCACGTTCCCAGGCAGTGCCTAAGGACACCAGGATGGGTCAGAGCAGAAGCTCACTTCCCACCGACCCTGACCATACCTAGGTATTTGGGGAAGATGATGATGAACACACACGATACTTCCCCTGAATGTTGTCTGTCTAACTCTACCTCAGAAACCTTCTCAGACGGATGCAGCTGTGTGTGTTCAGCAAATCTACAGGACTGACTCTCTCCTGAACCTGCCTGGTTTCCCCTTAAGCACTTGGGAACTTCCATCTTTCTCAAGGTTCCTCGCCTGAGCAGCTCTGCCTGTTGTGAAGCACATTGCCTCCACCCACTTGTCCCAAAACCACCACCTTCTAGCTTCTTCCGATGCCCTTTAGTTCTTGTACCAGATGGGAGAGCAATCAATCAACCCCTGCCAATCTTTTTCAGGCTTCTCCCACTTCTAAAACCTCTGCCATGGCACTCCTAAGCTTTACTGGGCTGAAGAGCACTAGCATACCTAGCTGCTTCTTCTGTGGAAACATTTCCAGAGCACTGACCATCCCTGACCTTCTCTGAATTTCTGCAGTCCTAACGTGTCCTTATGAGATTAAGAAATTGTACCACACAAGACAAAATGCAAGCAAATAATGAATTTATGCAGTGTCATAAGACCTCCATTTTTCTCCTCTTAATTCTCCTCTTAATAATTTCTAATATTTTATTTGCCTTATGCAATTCTTTTTCAATTTGCACTATTAGCTCTTTTATCTGCCGCTGAGCATTGAGCTCATGTTTTCACCTATCTATCAGAATGCCAAACCACAATAAAAAGAGGCAGTATCCTCCAGCCCCAAACCTGGCCGATGGCTCCCTCAGTGCCAAGATAGCCATGAAAGCGCAGTGCTTACCTGGGGCTTTGCTTTGTGCTGGACCAAGCAGAAGAAGCCCATCCGCTGAGGTTTTGCCATAAACGTCCATGGTGAAATAAATGTCTTTGGTCCGACCATCAATCAGCACCAGAACGATGTCCCTCAGCATGGTGGAATGGGGACCCTGAAGCTCTATGAACTCAAAGTCTTCGGCAGAAGAGGCAGCGTGGACCTCGCTGATCAGGACAGCAGACGCATTCAGCTGAGAAGTCAGGATGCAGTGGTTGTCTGTGCCTGGGGTAGGCACGGCCACTTGGAAGATCCACTGAGAATCTGCCCCGCGGCACCTTTCTATTGACTCATCCGTGGTCCTGAAGGTGGAGTCCTCCAGAAAAGCATCTCTGCCAGGAGTCAGTACACTGACCAGAGTGTCCGCTCTGTCCATCTTCTTAGTCTTATGGACCAAGGCATCTACCAGTCCTCTACTTGTGACATCCATGCCTTCCTTGTAGTTCCCTTTCCCATAGTACAGAGCGATCGCATCGGGGCCGTTCTGGATTGTGTTCTTAGGAATCACTATTGCCGGGTTCACAGAAGGGGACCCAACGAGAAAGAACCCTTGGCCATTAGTAACCTTGCCCTGAAGGTTCAAAACTTTGTAAGCTCGGTTTCCATTGCCATTGTAGAAAACCAGATAGTAGCCATCCAAACGGGCCGTTCGGCCACTGGTGTGATAGAGCTCCACAAACTCAGAAGTGTCCATGCCTGGAGTGTCAGCATTGACTTCATTAATCAAGAGGGTATGCTCTGTGTTCTGGTCCCTGGGGTTTTTTATGAGATTCTGGGCAGCAACCCTGGGAAACCAGATGTACACAAGCACCATCAATCCAACCAGACAGACATCTCCCATGACGATAGCTGGGACTTCTGTTTCAGTTCCTGATCTAGAGGAGCAAAGGCCTGTCCTGACAGCACAGAAAGAATCTGCTGCTGCTGGGCAGCTGGATGACAGCAAGACAAGGCCTCCAACCTGGCTGCTGGCTGGAGGAGGCGCTGGAAGAGGCACTTCTCTACAGAGCTCTGGTTTGCAAAGCACTGCAGCGGTCTTGCAAAAATCAGACTGGAAAAGGTATGGTTTGAACAAGGTTTTCCCAGCTCAGCTCCTTTAAGGGGAGAGAAAACAAACAAACAAACAAACAAACAATCAAACAACTAGTTAGGAAACACAGAAACACGACAGTGCAATTTAATGGCCTTAAAGCCCCAGTATGTGTGGACATCTCTAATTTTTCCTCCCCATGTTTCTTCAGAGGTTTATCAAGATTCCTAACAGTGGTTGCAGTGGAACACAGCCAGCCATTTTCAGTGTTCAAAGCTCTGAGATTTGCATGAACACTTAACGTTGTGTGGTATCTCTATTAACAGTTGTTTCCCTAATTTATTCCATGGGAATTAACAGAAAGCAGCACTACAGATGACAGTAACCATCTTCTCCATGCAGGGGAGGACAGATGACCGTGGCAGAATCTCATCACGTCCACTGCAGAGCAGCTCCACTGACCACCGAACCAATTCGGCCCTGCTGCAGCTCCGGCAGATGCAGCCAAAGGGCTGGGGGAACCACGCACAGATCAGCAACACACCCCACAGGACCTGCAGCACCATTTCCCCGTATGGGTTTCTCAGTGAGAAAGCGCACGACTCAATCGTTCCCGAAGCCAGGTCTAAAAAAATAAGCGGTGTGAAACGGACAAATAAAGATGCTTGTGAAAAAAAAAAAAAAAAAAAAAAAAGTAAAATTTGTCCTGTCGCTTACAGAGGTTTCCATGAACACCCTCGTGCCACCACCTGAGGGGTTCAGATAAATTCTGTGCAGCCCGTGTCCAGCCAAGACTGGACACGCCGAGGTTTCATCCCCAGGCTGTGGGGCCGTATCCCCTTGGGGCTGACGGGTGAGGAGTGCACAGAACCCTCCGGTTCCTTCACGTCGTGGCTGACTCAAGGGGGTGCCTGCTGTGTGGGTGGACGCCTGCAGTGCTTTTAGCTGAGCGCCAGCTGCAGAGGTAGCACAGCAGCACGGATTTGGTGCTGGCAGCCTGGCACGGCTTGGCACTACCAGCAGGGCTGGCTGTGCCAACTGAAAGCTGGCACCCGGGCCACACGCAGGACAAATGGGAGGAAACCGTGATAAAAATGAGAAATGGTAAAAATGAAGCTGACGTGAGCCAGAAAATAAAGGACCCTGATGGAGAGGTGATGCTAAGCTGCTCTGCCCCAGAACGCCTCCCCCTTTTGCTGTGCTGGGCACCCCTTTGCCTCCCGAGCAGCAACACGTGTGCCCCGTGCCTCCGTGCCATGGGACCGGCCCCAGGGCTGCCCTCTCTCCTGGTAGGTGCTTGGCACCAAAACTCGCTCTTTTCCCACCCAGGCACGGATCTCCTGCAGACCCACTGCTGACGTCCCCCTCCGGCAGCCTCTCGGTCCCGCCCAGCTGGATCCGAAGCGAAAGAAACTCCTGCAGCAGCCCAGCCTCGCCGGTGCCCTATTCCCATGTTTCTGTCCCCATTTCAGTTACAGGACAGAAAAAGAAAGGGGAGCTCCCCCCCGGGGGTGAGACGCCAGGAAAACCACGGGAAGGGAGAGAAAACAGCAGGAGCGGAGGGAGCCGGGGCTGGGCGAGCAGCGGGGCAGGGGCGGCCACCTCCCGGCACGGCTCCGGCTCAGCCCCGGCCCGCAGCCGCCCCGGGGACGGGATGGGGATTGGGGATGGGGACGGGGACCGGGGGACGGGGATGGGGACCGGGCACTCACCGCCACTCGCTGCCCCGGGACCCGCCGCCGCCGCCGCGCCCGTCGGGACCGCACCGGGGCGGGGCGGGGCGGGAGCGGTGCCGGGAGGGGGGGGCTCGGACCCCGGCACGGCCCCGGCCCCCGCCGGGCACTGCCGAGCCGAGCCGTGCTCTGCCCACCCCTAGCGTCAGCCACGAGTGTCCCAGGTGCTGGCAGCCCCTCACAAGGCTCCGTCCCCAAAATAAGCTCACACGACCCAGAAGGTCCTTCTGTGGCTCTTGGCGGCCCTTCTCCTTCTGGAAGGATGCATGGGTGGGTGGGTTGCTGCATGGTTGGATGGATGGATGGATGTACAGGTGTTGTGGACCTGCCTCCCCACCTACATGAGCTCCCCAGCCAGCACTGGTGTCCCTCCTCACACCGCTCCCAGCACGGGAACCGGCACCCGGAGGGCTCGGTGGCAGTGCTGGGTGGCCCTGCCCAGCCTGCTCTGGTGGCACAGGCTGAGCTTTCCCAGGGGGACCGGTCCTTGCGGCCCCCACAACTTATTGCACCCCAGTGCTGTGTCTCCACTGATGCTGCTCCCTGGCCGGGGGGGCATTACGCTGCCTCCTCACCTCCATGTGGTGCTGGGACACAACTCCCTGGCGAGGGCCAGGCCCGACCTAACTCCTCTTCCCCACCAACCCTGAGGACCTGCTTCCCCACACCTCCCTGTGGGGCTGCCCAGGCCCCTTCCATGTTTCTCCTCACTGGGAGAGACCCGAGGGCACTGCCCTGGGCAGGCTGCGGGGAGCAGGCTGTCCTGCTCCTTCTGCAGGGCCAAACTTGGGCTTCTGTGACTCATCAGCCTGGTGTCTTCCTCCCTCCTGTAACTGGAAACCAGGGCTCCAGCTAGAGGGAAGCTCTGCCAGAAGGGCCGCCTCCGCCTGTGTCCTCAGCAGAGCTGCAGCTGTGGGAAGAGGCTGAGCCAGGCGGGGAAGGTTCTGCCCTCAGGGCTCCTTGGGGCGCAGGGCAGCCCCAGCACTGTGCCCATACCAGCAGACGAGCCACGGAGCGAGTATCCTGCAATTCTGCCACACTGGCAGCGTCCCCAGAACGATGCTGGAGCGGTTCCCATCTGAGTGCTGACTAAACTTTAGAGCACATGGTGCTAATTACTGGGGCTTGGGGCTGCACACTGTGCCCGATCTGACACAGAGCCTTGCTGGCGTGATGCGCACTTGGCGAGGTCTGCGGCGTGGTGCTGTGCCCCAAGGCCCATCCCATCCCATCACTGCTGGTGCAGGCTGTGTGGCTGCCCCCTGCCCGGCTGGGGACCGGGCTGCAGCAGCAGGGTCCCACATCGTGGCTGTGCACGGAGCTCCTGCTCTGTGGGCCCTGCTCAGATCTGAGAGTGGTTGGCACTTTTGACAGGCGGCTGGGGCACGTCACACACCGATGGGGAGCCAAGCTGAGCTCTGCTGGGAGAGCTGTCCCTGACCTGCCCAACATCTCCACTTTTGTACTGTAAGCCTGTGTTCTCCCCGGCACGTTTTGTTCGCTTTAACTATCAGAGTTTGGAGACATTGTGTTTATGCAATCACTGAACCACAAAGGATGGTGGAGAGTTGTTTGGGAGGGGAAACACCCTCACCCGAGGGGCCCTGACTCATCTCTTTCTGGACAGAGATGTCACAATCCCAGCCGGGATCCTGGCCTCGCCTGCAGCGGGTCCCAGCCCACACCAAGTGCCCCCTGCCTCTGCGTAGGGTTCGCTTTGTCCAGTCTGAGCACTCAGAAAGTGCCTTCCTCCCTGCCAGGCCCTTCCCCACAGCCCCCAGCTGCGAGGAAGCAGAACAAGGGTGGTCTGGGGACTGAACTGGTCTTCTGCTGGCTGCTCTGGGGAGCTGGGAGCCACAGGGGCCCAGGCGAGGGGCAGGGCCTGGGCCGTGAACTCCTGCTTGTGTCCCAGCAAATCTCTTTGTGTCCACTCTGCCAGGATGAGGGCCGGCAGTTCTGGCTGGCCCTGGGCCATAGCACGGGGAGGAAAGCTCGGGCTCTCACTGCTTTCAGGGGTGTCCGTATCTGCTGGCTGGGCATGGCCACGTCTCTGCTCTCCAGCATACACGGAGCACAGCATCCAGCGCGGCGCAGCTTTGCTGAGGCAGAGCTCCACGGGCTGTGTCTGCAGCCAGGCAGAACTTTTACCCACCTCATTGGGAGAACGTGCTGTGATGTCAGAACAAATTTCCTACCCGTATTCTGAATAAGCTCTATTGGTTGGAGCTATTAAAGGCAGGAAAGACACAGACAGTTCAGATGACATACAAGGCCACATTTTTCTAGTGTCGAAAACAGCCTCAGCAGAGGAAGCTGCTTCAGGAAGGGTTTGGAGCTTGGCTGGTCTGTACCTTGGCAGACGGGCCTTGCTGCAGGGTGCCAAGGATGGCAGGGACGTGGCCAGGCCCAGGATGGTGGCTGTGGTGGCAGTGATGGGGTGCGTGGTGGTGGGTGTTCACCACTGCACCACAGCACCCAGGGGTGCCGGGGCTCCCTGTGGCCATGGGCATCACGTCCAGGTGGTCAGCAGTGGCTGCCGTGTCTGGGCAGTCAGTTGTGGCCATTGTTGTTGTGCCCATGTTGTGCCCATGTTGTGCCCATGTGCCCTGTTGTTGTGGCCATGGGGGCCCTGTTGTGCTGGCCAGGTGGAAGTGGTCGAGATGCCACCAGGCACAGTGGAGCAGTGAGAGGGCGTGGGGAGCTGAAGCGAAGAGACGGGCAATGAGGCTCGGGTTCCTGATTAAAGCAGGCAGGAGGCGCTAGGAGCTCAGTGTTTATTGGTTTTGTTCTGCTCACTCACGGTCTGCACGAGGAATGAGCTGACTGCCGCATGCAGACACGCACAATGTTGCTGGAGGCTGCCCTGGGAGACCTCCAGGCCGCCCCGAAGCAATGCCAGCTCGGCACAGCGCAGCCCTACCCGATCCCCCAGGCTGCTGCCGCCGCGCTGTGCACCAGGCTCCAGCTGCGCCTGCGCAAACGTGGGAGGTGCGAGGTCCTGGGCTGCGCCCCAGCCCACGGGGAGCTGAGCCTGGCCACGTCTCCGCAGGACACCCACCACCTTCTGTGGAGCAGGTGGAGGAGCTGCTGTGCTCTGAGCCTGTGCAGGGAGCAGCACTGCCCGGCCTGCCTGCTCTGCTGCCACAGCCTGAGCTCCCCCCCGCAGGTACCAGGACCTTTCCTTTCCATTGCTACTCTACGCTGCCGGCCACTGCGATACCTCTCGCCTAGCGCGTGCTGTCTCTAAGGCTACTGCTGCAAGCAAGTCTAACATGCACTGCCCTCCTGAATCCAGAGACCTCACCGCTTCCAGCAAAGCACTTGTGGAGCAACTGGCCCGTCCCTTGCAGGCTGAGAGGTGTCAGACATTTACTGCTTGGGTGAGGGGGGTGCGCACCCACTGGGGGGCGATGCCAAATCCTCAGGCAGAATTTTGTAGTGCCCAGCCAGAGGGTGCTCCCCAGCCCCAGAATCAGACGTCAAGGCCTGGGAAGACTGCAGGGGAGCTGGGGCAGAGCTCCAGCCATCCCCTGCAGGCTGTGTGTGCCACCAGGGGAGGGACAGCACCAAACAGGGTGACCCTGACAGCTATTGTCTGCTTGGAGGCTGTTTTCAGCACCTGTACGCTGCTCGCCTGCATCCACTCCAGATGAAATCCTGAGGAAACCCTCACTATTTATCTTCTTCAGCTTTCTTCCTTCCCTCATTGCTGGCTGGAACACTACAAATTTACAAACTGAGAGATCTGCAGAGAGGTTTTTGTTGTTGTTCTTTGTTTGTTTGTTTGTTTTCCTTTTCTTGGCAGACCAAATTCATCAGCACCGTGCTTCCCATGTGTTCTCACTGGTACATGTCACAGCGATGGCTAAGGAGCAGTTAGCAAATAAGTTCCTTTGTGTGCCTGTCTGCCAGCCCAGTAGTATGATATTTGGGGGCAGTCTTTCCAATGCTAAAAAAAAGGACTGAAAAAGCCAGTGGATGGGGTATAGCAGGTTACACATGATGGCTCAGCACCCAGAACATTCCCACCAGATCTATTTACCCTTTTTCCACACTGAGCTTCTGCCACTGCCTCCCAGTGTCACTGGTCACATCCAGCTCCTCTGACTTCCCAGCGCTGCCAAGCAGGAGGGGGCTTTGAAAGGGAAAACGCTCCAAAGAAGTGCTCCAGTGCTCAGCCCCAACGCTCTCTGCCTTCTCTCTCAGTTTACAGATACTGAACCAAAGCAGCAGGCAACAGCTTTGGTCTGGCCGCCCCGATGGTAGGAAGCACTGCCAGCCCCTGGTGTCACCAGTGCAAAACCCATATCTGCTCAGCCAGAAGGGTCACGCCAGGCAGCTGCCAGCTGTCAGTGCCAGCAGTTCTTGGGGGATAGCTTTGCATTCTGCCAAGTGCCTGAAGCAGGCACTTACTGCAGTGGTGTGCTCGAAAACTGGCCAGGCCAAGTCATCTGGTGTTTCTTGAGATTCTGCCTTCTGTTTTTAGGCATTGGCTTTTTCTCTCAGTGTCAAGTGGTGCTTACCAGGCCCACCAGCTGTGTGGAAAAGTGTGGCTGCTGAGAGGAGCAGCAGTCTCCAACCGTCAAATTTCAGATTAAGTTAAGACTGCAGCTGCACAAACAAGATGGGGTGTTTATTCTCAAGAAACAACAAATGTACCTGACCTGACCTCGGCACAGGGAAAGCTTTTTGCCCTACCCACAGCAGAACTGCAATGCTAAGTGTTCCTCCTCCCCTCACCCAGGTACTCCTATAAAGATGCCCTAATCCCATCCCACCCCACCAAACCCCTTGGTTCACTCCAGGTCTCCTCCAGGAGGGCTGCGATGCCACTAAGTTCTGCAAGCTGCCACCACACGCCATGGAAGCTGGAGCTGTTGAGGAACAGAAGGAAAGGTAATGAGGCTGGGCTGAAGGTGGTACCCAAAGAAACAAAGTGCAGGAGTGGGAAGTGCACAGAGACTGGGAGGAGGAGGAGGAGCAGGAGTAAGTGCTGTCAGGCCATAGCCTGGTAGGAAGGCAAACCCAGCCATGCTGGTGCTCACTGCACCAGAGGAGGACCTTCTTTTCCAGACAGTGGACTCTGCTTTCTCCTCTCCCTTCCCTTTTTCCCAGTTTTGTCCACAAGCAGCAGACTGCCAGGATCCCTACAACGGTGGAGGACGGGCAGTCCTTTTTTTGTACTAGACCCAGAGCACAGGCAGAAAAGGCACACGTCAGTTGCAAGTCTAAGTGGGAAATGTGATGAAGCCGGGGCACAATTTAAACACACAGGAGTCTGGTTCTGCTGGGGAAGCCACAAGGCATCTGAAATTACTAGAAAGTCTGACAGACATAACTTGGGTCTTACAGAAAACCTGACCCTTGTGGAGTGGCAGCAGGAGGCCAGGGAGATCCCAGGGGCAACTGCACTGGTACTGGACGGTACTGGTGTGCACCTAAATTGCCCTCCAGGAGCAAGCATCCAACACAGGGCTAGTTTCACTTCAAGGCAGATGGCAATAATGAGGATAGAGACAAAGAACATTTCTGGATTTCTGTTCGCCTTGACAAACACAGGAGCTTTCACCATCTCTTAGCCCCTTGCTGGGCCCTGGGTGGGAGTTTGCTGTGCACCAGGTGAATGTAACCGCAGCCATTTCAAGCGCTCGAGCAGCGGGTTCAAAGGGCTATGTGAAGTCCAGGCATGGAGGCAGTAACATGCAGGCCAGGAAGAAAGCGATGGGACCCCAAGCCTTACTTCTGGTGTAACAGGAAGCACAGCCTGAGGTCAGGATATCAGACCAGCCCTTGTGGCCTGCAGTGTGCCTCAGGGGACCCCTTGGAGTTGGGCAGCGTGGAAAAAAGGCAGCAGAGGCAGTAGGGAGGGGAGATGGCCTCTCTCAGTGGGGATTGGCAGCACAGCCACACCAAATGATCGCAGCAGATGGGTGTCATTGGCCCCTTTAGCTGATGGAGCTATATAAAACAGGCAGTGAGTGAGGACACTTACCAGCAACTGCTCTAAGTACTGTCGTTCTCAGGCTGGATGGCTGTTTCAGGCCTGCAAGGAAAGAACACAACAAAAACGTGCAGGCAGTCAGTGAGGCGAATACAAATGCATCTTGAACAAGAGAAGAAATAAAACAGTGGCATCACCTTTGCAGGGGAGAACACTTTTATTAGGGTAGAGTGGTGGTCCACAGCCCAGTGCTTGCAGGTAAGCACTGCTGATGTTGCTCATGGCCTGAGGACACAGCTCAGAGCAAGAACCCTGGGGAGAGCAAAGCGGGAGGCTGCCTGCAGCAGCCACTTGCTCAGCATCACTGCTCAGGGCACCAGCGAAGCCTGGGGATGCTCAGGCTGGATTGGGGTGAAGCTCCCATCGATACTGCCGTATGGACGAAGGGAAGGGGAGAGAGGAGAATCAGCTCAACCTGGTAGCTCTTTGCCAATCCAGCTGCAGAACTCTGTACGCTGACAGCTCCAGCCTGAACTCTCATCTTCATTGCACTGGTGTAAAACCCAAATGAATTCAATGTCCCAAGCTGGACTTTACACTGGGATGAATTAAGACCAGGGCTAAGCTGTGACAGAGTACAGATGAGCAAACCAGCAGCCACAGTAGATCAGATTGTCAAAGGCCCTTCCAGCATGCAGGGGCCCGGTGCCCATTCTTGAAGAGCATTTCAGCTATGAAAAGCTGAGACTGTTTGTCCAGGGAGTGCTTGAAAGTTTGCTCCTACTTCAAAGTGAGGTCAAAACACACTCTTAACCCTTGACTCTGGGAAGCATGAGTAGTTCTTGCTTTCAACTACAGGCAACCCTGGCAGAAAGGGATGTCTCCTTCCCTGCTCATTAGCTCCTGGAAGATGGGCTCTGGGAATCTACTGCCCCTTCTGCTGCATGTTCAAGGCAAGAAGGGGAAGCTGCCTGAACACCTGCCCACTCCTGGGCACTGGCTGAGGGTCTCCACAATGGAGCCCCTGCGGCCAGACCCTTGCTCCATGTTGAGGCTCAGCACTGTGCCCAGGACACAGCTTTGCCCACAGCAGAGCTCTGGGGAGCAGGTCTACACCGAGCTGCCCCCACCACAATGTGGCAGGTCGTGGCTGACACTGCTGACCGGGGTCCCACACCTACCACCCTCTTCCCACTTTCCTCTGAACTGACATAGCACTGGTGCAAGCTGCTGAGGAAAGGGCTGTAATTATAAACCAGCAGATATTTTGCGTGCCTGAAGAAGGTTACTTCAGCTGTCAAGATAACCTGATGCTTAGGGACTCCGTGTCAGCTCTAAATTGCCATGACAGGATCTGGCATGACTTACCTCACAGAGACAAAGCAAGGTTAAGCTGTGTCACTACATACACATACTGTGCACACAACACATACTGTATATGACATCATATATGGTATACAGGTAATGCTTCACAAATATCCCTCTGTGGGAATACCTAACAGTAAATGTGCATGTGTAAACTACTTTCAGCTGCATTTAGTTTGTGAAACCCATACAAATTAATGCATGCTAAAGCAGGTAGAAGTGAGCAGAGAATGCTCTAGTTGAATACATACACGTTATCTACATGTATATACGCACATACATTCACCTATACACCGTGTGTTACAGCAGACAGAGAGCACTACTGCGGTGTGTTGCAGCATGAAAACAAGCTCCCCCAAGCTGCAGGTTATAGAAATGTTCTCTGAGTGCATAAGCATCGACCACTGAAACAGAGAAGAAAAAATCCCAAGCAGGTGCTTTTTAGTGGCTATACAACATAAAAAGATAGTCACAGATAGTCACACTGTTTTTGTTTGTTTGTTTGTTTGTTTTTCAGAAACCCTATATCCCTTTGCTCTCCTTTTTCCTGAAGTGGCTGGGAAAATAGACAGTTGCCTGGCTGTAAGAGCCAACATGGAGTTTCCACAGCTGTAATTTCTTCCTTTCCTGTCAATTAGGTGATGGTAAACTTTGGACTGAGCCCACTGTAACACAGCTGTTCAGCTCTAGTCTATCAGCATGGGTGGTTTTTAGAGAAGAGCCTGCAGCACAGGGGCTCTGCAACAGTAGAGCCCTTTCCTCTTTGTCTCAAAAGCACGACTCCCACTGTCTTTGCACAGATAGCTCAGACAAAGCACGACCACCATTACAGTTGCAGTCTATCCGGTGTCGTCCCCAGGGTCTCACTTGGCAGGGCCGTTGCAGCCCACCAGGACGCTGACTCTGGGCTCCATCAAGGGCCCAGCTGCCACCCAGAGACAACGCCCTGGGAAAGACCCCTCCATTCCCACTGAGGTTCCCAAGACAAGGTCCTGTCCCGCTCCCCAGACACACACACAGTGAATGATGGAGGCCACACAGGGCCTTTGCTGACACTGTCAGCTGGTTTGGGGCACCCATGGAAAACTCCCTTCACTGGCCCATGCCAAGGAAGAAAAAGATACTACCTCCTCCTCACCTCTTCTCCTCCCACACTGGCCAGAGTTCCTGCCCCACATTAAACGAGAAGCATCTCAGGACTGTTTTGTGTCCCTCCACGTTCCCCATCTCCACAACTTCACCCTTTCCTAGCCCACTCCTGCAGCTACTCTTGCCTCCTGCAGCAGCACCCTCTGCCCTGGGACCACCACAAACCTCCCCCACAGAGCCACCAACAGTTGTCCTCTCACCCCAAAACCCATAAAGGACATGGCTGAGCTTAGCAGAGAGTCCAGAAGAGCAAGGAAAGAAAGGAAGGAGATGACAAGGACAACTACAGCCAAAACAAGGGTGCTCATGGAGAACTGTCTTTACCGGTGACCCTCACGGTATCTCCTGGAAGCAGTCGGGCGCTGTCTTCTCCTCATATAGAGATCTGTGTCTACCGTCTCCTGAACCGCTTGCTCTGGAAGCAGGACAAAGAAAGATAGACCTCTGTTGATAAGCTGCTTCCAGTTTTCAGCAGGCCCTGGGGGCCAGGGGATTGTCTGGCAATAGCTGCTGGTGGGGATTAGGCACTGTGAGAGGTTAGGAATGGCACCCCGAGTGCTGAATCTCATATGTAAAAGTTGTGAAAGCTATGCTGGAGCCCTCTGTCCTTGGTTGAAAATGCCTTTATCGCCTCAAGCTTGATTATACTTTTTTTTTTTTTTTCTTTTTTCAGTTTGGTGCCTCTTTTTGAGTGGTATGTTTGGAAACCCAGCACATCGTCCTCATGAAGATCACAACCACTGCACAGTGCAGGAGACAAGTGCTAATGCACTCTCCAAGAATGAGGAGGGGCTTCTGAAACCAGGACTGCACCTGGCCCCACACAGCCAGAACAAGGGACTCTCTGGTTTCCAACACGATCGCTGCCCTTTTGTGTTGATAGCAGCAGTGGTCTCCGAATGGCTTCATGGCCTAGCTCTTGGCCTACCTTCTCCTCCATGCTGCATACGCTCATGAGCGCAGCATGCCCTCTTCCAGAACCTGAAGCCATCCTTCCTGCTTTCCTAAGAAGCACTTCACCTGCTGTATTTCTCACATGGGTTCAGACATCACAGAAGAGCACAAACCAAAATGGCCAGAAATGACTCCCTCTTTGGAGAGCTGCCATCAGCTCGTTGCTTTTTCAGGCCCTTCCTTGCCAGTTGGTGAACTGAAAATCTGTGCCTGTGCTTGTGTTCACACACATTTCACCACTGTGAAGTGGTATACATGCTTCTTATGTTAAATGTGTATGTGTGTGTGCCTTTAGCATAAGTATGTGTATAAAGAAAGTGTGGTTTCCAAACACAAATCTGTAGTGTTTACATAATGAGGAAGGAAGTGGGTGAAGTGGATTTATCTGTGTGTGATAAAACAGAGGAAACTAAAATTATGAGGGCTTCCTTCCCTTCGGCACACACAATACTAAATTGCTGTGGAGCTGGTCAAATCGTTCATCATATGGCCTAGCAGATCAGAGAGCTGTTTTTCAGTAAGCTTTTGGTGAGTGGATCCTTGGGATTCAAAGATCCTCTATAGGTGCTGCAAACCAAGGCAGACACTTGCAAGGATGTTTGCAATAGGACTAAGTATTTAACCTTACAGACGTATTTAAACACTTGCACCGGCAATGCTCTTAATCACAAGTGGCTGTGTCGATCTAGAGCACACCCCCATAGATGTGATAAGCACAGGCTGGGATAAGCACGAGCCCCCCTCAGCTCTCATCCTGGCAAAGCCCACCTCCATCTGACCAGCTGCCCACTGAAGACTCAAATTCTGGTCTCATTGCCTTCACATGAAGGAAGGGTCAGTTTGTAAGGGGAGAAGATAAAATTTGGGTTTAAAATCAATAATGTGTTTGCAAATCAGGCTGAGAGGAAAAAGCTTAGGGAAGATCTTCAGAGCCAGGTCTCCTTGGGCAGGCAGAGCTGGGCATTGGGGTGCTACTGGGTGGGTGCCGGTGGTGTGGCTGCAGCCCCTGATGGGTGGGTGGATGGCTGGAGGAGACCAATGGGAGGAAAAGGAAGGCAAGACTGAAAAATACCCAGACCCTCACTGCCATCTGCTTTCTGAGGAGTCCTTGGCTGTGGTGGGTCAGGGCTAGGACCATGCTCTCCAGAGCATGCCAGCTGCACTGCCACGCTTCCTTGCAGACTATCTGCTAGGCCAGTGGGACAGCGAGCAGCTTTTACTCACAGATCCCATTTTTAGGAGCCTAGTCTTTTGGTCTGCAAACCCCTCATGAAACCAATGCCCCAGGACAGCCCTTTGTTTGATTTCCCTGTAGGTTTGCTTTCCTTCAAAAACTAGCTGCAGGAAAATGCCCACTTGCCTAGCAGGCAATGCACAGCACTCACAGCTGGGCTCTGGGTGCTAACTAGGAAGAAATCTGAATAGTTGGGAGTGCAGATATTCATGCATGAGATGGCAAAGCCATGAGTGTTTTCGCCATCACTCCTGGCTGAAGTGGCAAAAGCAAATAACTGCATGGGAGAAAGATTTCTCTGGCCATAATCTGAGAGTCTGGCCCAACTCACCAATCTCTTCCACAATATTCTCAGTGCTTCCAGGAGGAGTGGTTTTCTCCTGTTCAGAAACAAAACAAAACAAACAAGAAAGAGTAACAACCTCAGGTGGGTGCCCCCTTGACTTGTCCCTTTTCTCTGAAAGAAGGTTACTAAGCACTGGGGCTTTCCTGGTCATCACTATGATTAACACCACAAATATCATGAAGACACAACCAGAACCCTCCTGCTCTCAACAGCAGAATCTGCTGCCTTTGGCCACTCCACCCGGCAAAGTGCTCGCCATCCCATCCACTGCAAGTCCTTCACTTATGCTGCTGCACAACCACCCCAAGAGCTAAGTCATTCTCGCTCTCTCTCTTTTTTTTTTTTTTCCTTAAAAAAAGCAACATTCAGATAACTGCAGATTGGTATTGCTTGCTCCAGAGTTTGGGAAAAAGAGCAAAAACAGCCACTGTCCATCCTTCTAAAAGACACCACTAATGTGACTGACGTGCACACAGAGAAACAACAAAGAATAAAGCTGCTCCCAAACCTGCAAACATTCTTGAAGACATGATGACTGATACATTTAGAGTAACTAAACATTAGAGACGTCTGTATATAAAGGATTTAAACCCTAACAATACACAGCCATTTGCACTGCAGCCCTGTCAGATGATGCTTCCCTGCAGCTGCACCCATCAGAGCTGCCGGCAGATATGTGGAGGTCTTCAGGAGCTGGATTTCACCCTCCTGCACTGAAAAAACATATCCTTGCTGCTGAGGCGAAATGAGAATCCCCTCCCTCTGCTAACCAATGCCTGCAGTGTTAACACGGCTTCCCCATTTCCAGCTGAATGGTGCATGCAAATACCCCAGTGCATTGGATAGTGTCCTCTAAGCTATTAAATTCAGCAAACATAGCACATATAGAAAAAAGTGAATTGGGACAGAACGGGGTGAAATGACATTATGGGTTTCTTTAAGGGGTCACAGAGTTTCTCAGTGGAAATACTGACTACTTTGATCCCCAGGTGCTGGACTATTTGATCCTTTGATGTTTGGGATAACAAAGGAAATAATTCTACTGAAATCATGAAGTGGCATCTGATTTTTAAGTACTAAGAAAAATATTTAGAGAGAGAAAAGATAAATAAAAGAAGCGTCAAATAAAGAACCCATTTTTTACAGTCATAAGGAGAAAAGAACAAAGTTCTATTTTGATTTAATTCAAATGTAATATATCCGTTTTGATCCTGTGCACAACTATATCTGCTGCTATTTTTTGTGCCCCCTGCTGTCGATAGCTTCTCACTGTGACTCCTCTCTCATTACACTGTTTGCAGTGCCTGCTGCCATCCCCTGCTCATCACAGGATCCAGCTCAGAAAGACTCAGTGCTTGGGTACACAGAAGATGAAAGCAGCGCAGTAATCATAGTTAAAGCAATCTCCAAATACCTTCTGGGCTCTTTACCATACCTTGCATGGTCTGTACTCATCCTGCCTGTGCCATAAGCCTGTAAATGAACGTGATTAAAGGAAGAGAGCTGTGTCAGACATACAAGAGGCTGGGAGTCAGTTTGCAGGTCTGCTGGCTGAAGCCAGCCAACTCCCCTTGCTTTGCTCACTGCAAGTAGCACCGACCTGGTGCAGACAGTTCTGCAGCTTATCAACAAACCCCACGCTGGAGCTATGAACCAGAAACCAGGGATACAAGTGACTTGTGAGCTCTCACACTAGTATTTAATATTAAGGATATGTTAGATTGTTTTCCTAGCCCTCGGATTATGCTGGATCAGCTGCAAGTCCAGCAGCCTGTGTGCTGATGCTGTTACCAGCAGGTTTGCATTTCGAGTCAGCTCATAGACAGGGCTTTCCTGCAAGCAGACACCCTTCAGGGTCACTCTTCATATGACTGTGAAATAAACCTCTGAGCTCAGCTCCTAGTAATCCACTTCTTTTGTCTCCAGGCACAGCTGTGGCTTACTAAATTTCCTTGCATGGGAGCTGGCTCATGTTCCTTACTCAAATGGCAAGCCCAGGCAGCTGATCAGGACCTGAGCCGAGAAAACTTGTTCAACGTGCAGACCTCCCTGAAAGATGGATTTACTGCTATTTGGGCTCTTTGTTGAGCACTGTCTGCCCTCCAGAGGTCTCTCTGTATTTTGTTACCCATCCTTTAGCAGCCCAGGGCTACCAACAACCCCAAAAGACCATCTGAGCAACCAATGAAAAGGTTGGCTCACCTGAACTTCTCTACTGCCCTCCAGCATACAAAACCTGATGTTTTCTCAGCAGGTGCTGAGCTGTGGGATGGAACAACCAAACAAAGGAATGGAAAAATACAGAACAGATGGGAAAAACATACCTCCCATCTCCCCCAGACTGCACTTTCAGAAGCCTTCCTGTTGGCAAAGGTGCGCCGTGACATTAACTTGACCCCTCTGGTTTAAAGACTGTCAATGACTCCTGCTGTTGGTTGGGATATCTGAACAGGTCACACTGGCAGGGTCCTGCATTCCTGCGGGGCCCTGACTGTAACTCGATGCTGTGCTGGCCAGGCAGGCCATATTCCGCAGAAACCTGCTTTTGGGAGCAGGAGCCCAAGGCCACTGGCTGCTGCGCTGAGGCCATTTGGAGAGCTCAGGCTGTGGCAGCATGTGGAGGGGACACTGGGACAAAGACGGGTTCAAACCAGAGATGACAGCTTTCAAGAGATGTGTGTTTTCCAGCTGGCTCCACTAATGCAACCAAGTGCTGCCCACTGACACAGCTGCACAGAAAAAACAGGGGCACCACTCAGCAGGAGAGGCCGCTGTGTGAGGGCAGGACTCACGCAAAAGCAGCCAGGAGGAGCAGACCAAAGGGTCTGATGTGCTGGTGGCAGTTGAACTCAAAACTGCCAGCTCCCCTGGGTACAGTTTATAGGAGAACTACAGCAACACCCGCTGCCAAACAGTTACACACAGGATTAACACTTCCTTCACACCTTGTAGGGTTTAACAAACTACATGTAGATGTCATGTCTTACAGCTATCCCAGCTCTCACAGAAGTGCTTTCTAAATCCAAAAGGTGTCTGATGAGGAGCAGACATGGAAACAGCTTCAGGCCAGCCAAGGAACTGAAGGAATCACCCACAGATGTGCCACTGGACATAGCCAAAGTGCTGTGGTGATTTTGCTCCATCCTTCCTCAGAATTCCTACAAGAGACCAAATGACTGCACCTTAGTGCACTGTCAGTCAGCCGAGCCAAGGCCTATGCTGGTTTCAAAGCAAAATGGCTTAGAACAGTTTGAGAGTGATTTAAACTAGCACACAGATCTTCAGACTTGCTGTGGACTAAAAGGATAGCTTCTGCAGCTCTGTTGAGGAATTTTAATAAAACCTACAGAGTGTTTCACCACTTTTGGGCAATTCCCCCCAATGAGTTTCTTCCTGGTCACTTCTCACAGTTCCCCTGTTGCCACTCTGGACTTGCCCTGCTCTCCCTGCCCTGCAGGTCTTCTGGATTTAGCAACCCTCTGCCCAGTCATCCACTACTGAGATGGCCTTCAACACTCTTTGTTCAGCCTGGGGAAGTTCACTTAGCTACTCTTGACCTTCTCCATTCAACCCTGCTGTCCCACATTCAACCCTGCTGTCCCACAACTCCTCAAATTTATCTTGACTCCTCTCTCCATCCCTAACGAAACCATTACTGACAGTCCACAAATACACAGACCCTGTTCCATAAACTTTGGTCCTATCTAGCTTTCTAACCCAAAATACTTCAAATCCTCCTCAGTCACATGCCCAGTTACATTTCATACTCATCTGCTTTTCCAGTTTGCTGACCTACTCTATTCCTCACAGTCCTCTAGTCCTCTCTGTACTCACACTGCCATCAAGTCTTTTCTTTCAGTTCCTGCTAGAACTGGACTAGTAGAAAATCACCTTCTCTACTTTTGAATTGGTTCCTGTCAGCTCTGAACAAAATCAAAAATATTTTTTGATTTCCACCTACTTCATTTCTATCAATGCTTTATCTTGGTGTCTCCGCCAAGGCCTCATCTCTTGGATGTCTGTATCACCTTTGTCAAACTCAATGTGCCATAGGCATACTCTGTTTTTCCTTAGAAAGACCTTTCATCATTTTCTTTCTGTCTCAGTCACCTTAGACTGCCTCTACTGCCTCAGAGTATTAATTGGCACCTCTCCTCTCCGCACCTGCACACAAGCTTTTATTTTTCCTCGTCATTCACCTTCCTAATATGATGGCTGTAGAGTTAAAAGGCTTAGGCGAGCCATTATTTTTTCTCCTCTTGCAGCCACATACTGCTCTTTCCTTACAGCTTTCTTAAGGATGGGTGAATTGGCTTTGTTGTCAGAAGGCAGGCTGCGGTTGTGTTTCCCAGGAGCACGGTGTACTCTCCAACCTCCCTCCAACACATTTAAAGGCTTTGCAGGTGGCCCTTGAGCAACCTGTGGGCCTTATGCTTGGCAGTGTCCCCAGGTGGCTCCTCAGAGTTCATCTGAAGAATGTGCTATTCTCTTTGCCAACCTGGTCTTGAGGGCTGCCTCAAAGTGCTCTGCCAAATAACACCTACAATGAGATTTACCCAAGCTGAAGCAGATAAGTGGAGAACAGAACCCAGAACTGCTAAGCCCTGACCATTGAGCCCTGAGACTTTCTACTCACCAAAGACCAGGAATCTGAAAATAGTCCAGTACTAATTACTATTACCTTACCATTAGCTCCCAAATCCAGAAAAGTTAGTCCCACTGATCCGTCTCAAGGGAGTAGTATCTTTGACCCACTGGAAGAAGGAACCCATTAACCTGTCTAGGACATTACTTTTAGGCTTATAGCGATTCCTCAGAGGGTTCGGCCTAGCTTGATTCCGCATCTTGCTGTAGGCCTGTGTACTCTGTCAGAGCCCTCTGTAATGCAGCAGCATTTCTCACAAAGCCCTTCAGCTGTCCCAGAGCTGAAGACTGATATACGATCAACTGTAAATCTGTCACTACAAATGCTCATACCATTGCTCATTACTGAGGTTTGGATAGCTAGCAGCCATGCTGAATTCCCTTCTGATG